GTCAGAAGAGGCATCTCGGAGATAGAATGTAATTTCCACATATCACCAAATTAGTGAGCACCATGGAGCATGGAGTGGGCCAAAAAAAATGGTTCCAGGCACAGAGCTAAGCACGTGCAAAGGCTCAGATGAGAGAGAGGGTAGTCAAATAAATAAAAATTCCTGCAGTTTTACATAAAGTTTTGAAGTGATTGCAGGAGAGGCAGGTAGGAGACTGAAGCCATGGGAAGGAAAATGGATCTAATTCTTATGACAACAAGAAGTTATTGATTTGAAGTAGAAAAGTAACATAAACCAGCTTGCATTTTCAGACAGTCATCTAGTTGGGTTGGAGAGAATGGAGGTGCTGGGAGCATGATCGGAGGCAGACATGAGACTAGAGGCGGCGGCTGCAGTTCCAGAGAGAAGAGCAATCTGACTTTGCTGCTTGTATCTCTCGAGGAAAGCAACCAGAAGCTGGGCATAGTCTATGTGTGTATGTGAGTGTGGATGGATGGATGGATGGATGGATGGATGGATGGATGGATGGATGGACAGGCGAATAGGGGGGTGGATAGATAGATAGGTGGGTAGATAGGGGAATAGGAAAGAAGATGAAAGAACTGGTCTTCGTGTTGTCAGGAAAGTAAAGCTTTAATTACATATGAGTCATTTAAGCCCTAATTACCTTCTCCATCATATGGCAGTAACGTGGGCATTTCTTCGAATTCTCCTCTTTCATCCATTTGTAAATCTACGAGTTCCAAGGACACTGAAGAGAAAAACAGAACCATGATGAGCCATTGAGAGTGACCTGAACTCTACCTGGACGCGCTCATGTTCAGAGTGCACCAGAGCTCTGATGTCCAGAATTGCTCCTTGGGAATAAAAGTATGTTGCACCAAACAAGCTTTGCTCCACACCACCGAGCACCTTGTTAGGCCCTTTTTCCCTTTCTCCTTCTCTCTCCTTCCCCCGTTTATCCCTCTGACCCTGTTTCTTCCCATCGCTGCATCTGCACCATGAAGCTATTTGAGGATCTCTTTGGCTTCAACTTTCTATCCCTGACTTCTACCATCTCTGCACTTCTTTCTCCCTCCAAGAGGTTCTTCACGTTTTTGCTCCATTGTCTTTTTATTTATTCTTTAACCCACTTCCTCTTTGTCTTACCTATACATAGTATTTCATTATTCCCATGCAACTCCTGGAGAGTACGTTTAAAATTATCTCTTTCTTCCCAAACTCCAAACTGGTAGTATTTAGATTCCATATACATTTAGGTCAAATTGGGCCTAATTAGGCAACTCAATTTGGTGCCCCCAATTTATATTTTTACTATTTTGTGACCTTCAGTTCTCCTCCCAGAAGACCCTTCATTAAGGTGTGTAGGCTTCCTTCCACCTGCCTCCACGTAGCCAGAGAGAAAGAGAGAAAGTGTGTGTGGATTTATGTTTGAGAGAAGGAAGGGAAGCTTTTCTTACATATAGACAGGCAAACAAATTTAGTGAGGTCTTTAGTGATTGAAATATTGAATACCTCCTCCATCGACTGATAGTAGTTCAGGTATCTCTTCGGAATCGCCTTCACTAGTACTTTGGAGAGCTTCGTGCTCATGGGAAACTGAAGAGAAACACAGAAATGACCAACCAGTCACAGTGACCAGGGAACAGACTCGGAGCTGATGCTGAATTCTGCTGTTCAGTGGCTCAGGTGAGCTTCTCCTTGGGCAAGAGGTACAGTTGCTCCCAGGACCTCACCTAAGACCCCCATAGCTTTGCTCCAGCTCTTCTCCTTTGTGTTTCCCCTGAGTCGCCTCATTTTCTGTCACCATACACTTTGCTTCTGCGCCATGGAGGTTGTCCATCACCTGGACTTTCTGGCTTCCCTCTCGGTGCGTTACTTCTTCATGACTCTTTTTCACTTTTCCTGCTGGTGGCTCCCTTTTTCTCTCTTGTTCTATCTAGATCTCTTGCATTCCACATGGTAATTCCCTTCCTGCCATCTCCCTCGGCTTTTCCCTGGTCTCGTCAACAACGTATACTTGTTGAATGAGAATCTCCTTGCACCAGTTCCTGTTCTACTCCCCTGGTGCCTGCAGACCTTCTGGGCTCTCCTGAATGAACTCAGCCTAGGTGACCCTGGTCCCCTTAACCCTTTGTCAGCCCACATGACCATAACCGCACTGACTCATCGAGGATTCTGGTCCACCAACCTGCTTGACTGATTTGAACTGGTAAAAGACCCTTATACGCTTCAGATAAAAATGACATCGTGTTTGCCAAAATTCTTTGAAAAATCACAGAACATAATGTAAAACAGTTGACAAAAGTTATAATTTAGATTTGAGGGCAGTTGATCTGAAGGACCATGTTGCTTTTGAGGGCTTTCCAAGGTTATGCACACAGTAACATTATAAACAAAGATACTAAAACTTTGTTTTTATTCTGTAGGGAAGAGACAGGGTGGGTAGGTAATAAATTCAAGTCTTTGGACTTAATAGATGTAAAAGACATCCCCTTTCTTTCCATAGTTGCACTAGAATGTGCATTTAGAAACATTTACACGACTCATGAGATTTTAGGACACATTAAATCTTTTGACAGTGGAGTGTGTTTATAATTTAACATATCAGGAAACACAAATTCTGAATTCAGCCACCTAACACCCTGTTGCCCAGGGCTGCCAATCCCCCCTTTCTTACCTGGCTCATAGTTTGGTGGGCAGTGCAAGGCTTCCTGGGGTTCTTCTTCATTAGAGGTTACACAACAGGGCTTGATATCCTCTTCAGAAAGGAATGAAATCCCACTGACATCTCAATTTATGACCAAGAAGAAATTACCACAAGAAAACCAAGAAAGTCTGAGAATCTGGACTGTCCCATTTTACAAAACAACCTGACCTGAAGGTTAACTTTGCTTCAGTAGGTTTCCCTACAGACAGATGATTCACTCATCATGAAAAATTTTCCTATTCTTTTTTATTATTATTATTATTATTATTATCCTCATCCGAGGACATTTTTCCATTTTTTGCACAGATAGAGTGGGAGGGAGAGAGAAGAAGAGAGAGAGAGAGAGAAACATCGACGTGAAAGAGACACATCGAGTGGCTGCCACCCGCACAACCAACCAGGGCCGGGGACAAACTGCAACCGAAGTACGTGCCCTTAGCGGGAACCGAACCCGGGACTCTCTGGACTGCAGGCCGATGCTCTAACCACTGAGCCAAACTGGCCAGGGCAATTTTCCTATTCTTACACCTCATTATCTTTCTATACCTTCCCTTCTCATTTCATTCTGTATATTTTATCAGTCTCTGCCTCTGTTTCTTTCTTCTGGTGTCTCTTAGAGCTTCTCTTTCTCTTGTTGTGTTTTTCTCTTCTCCTCTGTTCCTACGACTGTCTCTTGCTTTCTGTGATATTGCTCTTTCTCTCCTGCCCTTTGTCTCTCAGTTGGTTTTTCTAGCTGTCTCTCTCTTTTTGTAAAAACGCCCTCTCTGAGTCTATTTTAAGCAGGATTTAACCAGAGTGGAAAGAGTAGTGGACCAGGAAGGGTACTAGAACAGGAAGATTTTCTAAAAAGGCATATGAGAAGGCTCAGAAATAAAAGAAAAACGTAACAATTAAAATTATTGGGAAAGACGGTTTATTCTATCTTGAATCATGTAGGAGGCTAATGATGAGGCTGGGGAAATAGGCAGGAGGCTCAGTGTGGATGACGTTGGATGTCACTGAAAGAAACATATATCTGATCTTCATCTATTAATCAGGTAAGTCGAAAAATAATACAATTTGATTTTTATTTTCAAATGTTTCATCTAGTTGAAATGCAAATAACTGACTTCATAGGGGCAAGATTAGAAAGAGGAGATAGACAGATGACTGTTGCTCTGAGAACCATGACCAAGATCTAGATTAGAAACCTGGGCTTGGGGATGTGATAGAAAGACAGGTAGGAGATATTCTGAAAGACAAATGACTGTGTGAAGTGGGACACGGGCATGCTTTGGAGGACAAGAGCAGCCATGGATAACTCCTGGGTTTCCAACTTGAAAAACACTGGGGCAGTAGTGATCCCTCACTGAGAGAAGAATTCTGAGCAAGTGTTAGATCCAGCATGAACAATGAAGATGCTGACTTCAGGTGTGCTATTGCCTAGTTTAAGATTCTTGAAAGGATTCAAGTGTAGATCTCTCTTAGACCCCTGGTCCTCGGATCCATGGGTAAATGGAATCTGAGATAACCTGGGTGGAGATTTGATCTTGGGAATCATGGGAATATTCAGGGAGAGCCTGTTGCAATCTGAGCATTTTGTAAGAACCACTTTGATCATTAAGAACAGTTCCATGTGAAACTTCACAGCTGATGTTGTCAACTTTGTACCCAGAGATGCCGGTACACAACTCTTATCTCATTATCCTCTTTTACTCTCAACCTATTTTGTGTCCATTCTCCTTTAATTCTTTCTCCACATGGTTGCCTTTGTACCTCTCCCCAACTTCCCCCGTTTCTTAATATTTCTTTTCTTCTCCAGCTTTCCCTTTCCAGACATTTTTCTCTCACTGTTTATCTCTGATTATTGACTTTTTAGTGGATTTGTTCTATGATGTATCTTATACTTTCTCCCTTTCCATCTCTGTATCTCCGACTTTATCTTGACCTTTTTATCTGCCAATATCATTTTAACTTTTGTTTCTCTGTGTGATTTAATCCCCCAGGTTCCCCTTTCTCATCATTTCAAAAAGTTCCCTCTTGAACTTTGACTACAGGACCAGGGACCTCCAACTGGCCAGCTGTGTATGTAATGAGGGTTTCCCATGTGAAACTGACATGTCACATTATTTCAAATGTACTCTAAATTGTCCTGGGAAACTAACTGAAAATGATCCCCATCCCAACCTGGGATATAGGATTGTTATGTTCCCTTTAAAAAACTGGATCCATTCATGTAATTTGTCATATATCACCTACTGTCTACCTTTTCCAATTTCTGCTTTTGTGTTTTTCATCAATAGATACTCTGTCTATGCAGGAGCTCAGATTCCTGTTCTCATGGTCGCTCTCCCATCTGTGGGCAGGAAAGGACATGTAGGGAAAGTGGGACCAGCACAGGCCTAAGATAAGGAGATACAATGTCATCTTTGCTTCCACGAGGTCAAGTAAACCAAGATTTAATACTGAATTTTGTAAGAACCACTTTGATCATTAAGGAGAGTTCCACGTGAAACTTCACAGCTGATGTTGTCAGCTAAGTTAAATGACAGTTACCTTGTCCATCATGTGGCAGTATTCTGGGTCTATCTTCTAACCCTCTTACATTATTCATTTGGACAGGTGACCCTTCACAGCACACTGAAGAGGGTGACAAGAAAATGAAATAAAGCAGTGACCAAAGAAAAGACCTCTCTGCGCTCAAGCACCAAATTCTTCCGCAAGCCCAACAGAGCCTTGTTCCCTTTTTCACTGAGATACATATTACTTCATGAAAAAACAGTTCTGTAACCAACATCACAGTCAAGATTTGGAACATTTCACTCCTGTCACGTTGTGTTTTTACCTCTGTCTTCCCCAAGGAGGCTTCCAACTCTTTCTCCTTTGTCTCTAACTTTTCCCTTCCATTTATCCTTATGCTATTTGAGAATCCTACCCTCTCTGTCTCTTTGTGGGTTTTTTTCCCTCTCTCCTTTGCCTTAAACCAGGGACCCAGTAAATATACGTCTCCTTACCTTAGACTCTGGTCTATGCTTCTGCCCTATTTCAGGCTCCTTGGAACCTCCCTTCTGAATTATGACCTCACAACACAGCACTTAACCCCTCCCCATCTGTGCAAGAGTCACTCAGAGTCATTCAGGTGAATGCTGGACTAAGTCAAACTTACCTGCTTGTTGATGTTCTTGGGCAGATTTATTTGTCAATTCCTGGGTCTGTATTGAACTATTTGGGTCATGAGATGAATCTTCTTCTCTTGTACTCATCTGCTGTCCATCCCTGAGATACTCTGGGATTCTAACTTCAGGGAGGGTGTCAACTGGATCACACGAAGAAGGTTGAAGAATTTATTTTCTCTTTCCTTCTTGATAAACCTCTTTTACTCTTTACTAGTATCTACCACTAATCCCTCCACCACCACACTCTCATTTCCCCTACCCTAGTAGTAGACAAATCTCCAAGCATATTCTTTATATATTTTGCACTTTTTTATATATACTTGATACTTTTAGCAATTTGACTATTCAGAAGAATAAGTATAATTATTAAAATAGATCCAAATTTTAATACAGTTAAAATGTATAATACCTGCCCTGGCCAGTTTGGCTCAGTGGTTGGAGCACTGGCCTGAGGACCAAGGGGTCATCAGTTAGATTCCTGGTCAACGGCACATACCTGGGTTGCAGGTTTGATCCCCAGCCCAGGTGGGGGTCGTGTGGGAGGCAACCAATCGATGTGTCTCTCTCACATCAATGTTTGTCTCTCTCTCCCTCCCTCCCTCCCTCCACTCTATCCAGAAATCAATGAAAAAATATCCTCAGGTGAGGATTAACAACAACAACAAAAGTATAATACCTGAGGTGTCTATCCAAATTAAAGGATACATATTCATGGCATTTTACAAAGCTGATTATATTCTTATGGCTTCTCTTACATTGACTATTATCAAGGGGAAAATATCAACATTTAACAAATAAATAAATTTATTATAGGCTATTTGGCCTAAGAATGACCTTTTCTTGGGCTTAAAGGCTGTTTCACTCACTGCTACTCTAGTCTGAAAAATAATTTTTTTTTCAGTGGGTGTCTGAGAAAAACCATCTCCAATTGTAGAGCATTGACTAAACATCTAGTTGTTGTGGTCAAATATACATTATAATAACAGCAGTAAACATATAGCGATTACTTTGTGCCACAAGTTACTAAGGGCTTGGCACAAATGAAGTTATTTAATTATCACAACAATATTACTTTAGATATAGATACAGATCTACAGATGAGGCTATCTGAACACAAAAATTAAATAACTTGCCCAAGTAAGCAAATGGTAGAGCTGAGATTTGAGCCTGTCAATGGGGTCTCAGAGCCTTGCTCTGGGGAGAAGAAGGGTTAAGTCCTTGATAGGCCAATTCCTAGTTGTGTGACCTCCGCACATCACTAACTATCCTCCCTCACACCTCAGTTTCTTCTCCTGAAAAATGGGAATAACAAACTCGCTCTGACAGAATTGTTACGAGGATGAAGTGAGATGCTAAAGGGATATCTGGGTGCTGGTATCTTTGCGAGAGATCACAATTTTCAGTATTAATGTCTTACAACATAATGATTAATTATTGGTAATAACATAAAGGAAAGGGTGATTGAAAAGTTAGAATTGGTGGTTATTGGTTACAATTGTACATAGTTCATATGTGAGTATTAAAGGAGTTAATTGACGTGGAGTGCTGACCTTACGCCTAGTGGTCCATAATACGTAGGTGTTACTGCTGTCGTCATTGTTCAAGTTATCACTGCCCTTTATTCTCGTCTGCCCTTTTTACTGCTTTTCTTTTTCCTCTCTTCTCTACACAGAACCACTCCTCCTATATTCTCTTCTGCACACAATTATTATTCACTCTTTTCTTCTCTTTCCCGATATTATGAGTAATAAGTTCCCTCTTTTGACATACCAAAGGCTTCCTCTCTGGACATGTGACAAAGGAGCAAACCTTTACTCCTTCCCAGATTCACAGAATTCCTAACTCTCAAACACTGTCGTCAGTTTTTCCCTTAATTCTATCTTTTGGTCGCGGTAAGGTTTTCTCTCTCAGGTGTATGTTTCAACTTCTTAGTTGTTACATCTGTTTGAAGATATTCTTAGATTCCCCATCTGGTTGATTAATTGGGAACCCATACAACACACCACTGCTCTGGCTCCCATCTTCTTCGGCATCTCTTATTTATTTTCATTACAGATGTTTCACCTTTTTCCCCCGTTGACACTCTCCTCCCGATCCCCACCCCCCCCCCACTCATTGGTTATGCTTATATGCACACAAGTTCTTTGGTTTATCTCTTCCCTCTCCCCCACTCCCTTTTCTGAGGTTTGTCAGTCTGAACTCTACTTCTATGTCTCTGGGTCTATTTTGCTTATCAGCTTATTTTGTTCATTATATTCCACAAATCAATGAGATCATGTGATACTTGTCTTTCTCTGACTGGCTTATTTTGCTTAACATAATACTCTCCAAGTCCCTCCATGTTGTCTCAAAGGATAAGAGATCTTTCTTTCTTACAGCTGCATAGTACTCCATTGTGTATATGTATCACAGCTTTTCTATCCACTCATCTATTGATGGACACTTGGTTTGTTTCCAGATCTTAGCAGCTATAAATAGTGGGTGGGAATGCAGACTGGTGCAGCCACTATGGAAAACAATATGGTGTTTCCTCAAAAAAGTAAAAATGGAACTGCCATTTGACCCAGTGATCCCACTTCTAGGAATATACCCTAAGAAGCCTGAAACACCAGCCAGAAAGAATATATGTACCCCTATGTTCTTCTGCATTCTTACTAAGTGTACACTCTCCACTCAGGAGCCCAGTCCCCTTATCTGTGATCTCCTTTCTTCTTAGTAGATGAGAAAAAAAAACAAAAAAACATTTCTAATAAAGTCATAATTACCTTGTTCACAGCTTTGTTGGCAATTGAGCATCTCCTTTGTCTCTTCACCATCAATAGCATGGTTACAGAATTTGTCACAAAGCACTGCGGAGAGGAAGGAAAGGGCAATTCAAGGTCTCGACAGTGATCAGGCTACACAGCTCACAACTGTACATACAGCTGCATTCTAGATGCCAGTGATTAGAGGGAACCTCCCAGCCCTGGCGTCTCACATGACCTGTGACTTGATGTTGCTCCTGGACGCCTATAGCTGTTGCACACAGAGATGTGCCTCTCAAGGTTTAACAATGATGGACAGTGGACAAGTTATAAATCAGGTCAAACCCCTTCAAAATGATCAGAAAGCCTGTTTAAAATAAACAATATGTATGGAATGTGTATTGTAAATTCTACATGCAACAAGAATAGAGAAGAAGCGTGAAGATTTTTTTCAGGAGAGAGGTAATGTTTATAGAAAAATAGACCTCCATTAAAAAAAAAAAAAAAAAAGTCCCAACATCTTTAAGGATGGAGAATTTAGGAAGGAAGGAGGGAAGGAAGGAAGGAAGGAAGGAAGGAAGGAAGGAAGGAAGGAAGGAAGGAAGGAAGGAAGGAAGGAAGGAAGGAAGGGGATCTTGGGATCTTGGGTCAGGGACAGACATAAAGCTAACAAGTAACTAGAACTCCCTGGAATGTTTGGGCGGGGTCCAGAAAACAAAGGAAAGACTTTCTCTAAGGCACAGACAGGAATGAATATTATATTTTATTTTTTTAATCCTCACCTGAGGATATGTTTTTGAGAAAGAGGATATTGATTTTCAGAGAGAGAGAGAAACATCAGTGTGAGAGAGAAACATCGATGGGTTTTCTCTCATACTTGCCCTAACGGGGGATCAAATCCACAACCTAGGCATGTGCCCTGACCAGGAATCAAACCCACAACCTTTTTGGTATATGGGACAACCAACTGAGCTACCCAGCCAGGGCAGGAATGAATATTTTCTGAGAGGCAGGAACAGGAAATGAATATACCACAGCTGTACCAGTGACCCAGGAAGTGGTAACAAGAAGTTCAAGAAACCAGCCCAGGGCGCTGCACTTCAGAGCTGCATGTTAAGGTGACTCAGAAAACTTTGAAAAAGCAAGACTCCCAAGAAATACAGAAAGATGCCAGCCTAGAGGGACAGGTAGCTTGGTGCACATCTCACTGTGAGGGCTGAAGGTGGAAGGGACCTGTCGGAACAACAGATGCATTTGCTACACTGAGGACAGGTTGACTTCATGTCCCGGAAAAGTGTGGAGGAGGAGAGGGCACATAAATGTCTTATGGGTTAGTGGTCTAGAGAACCTTAGGGGAGACCCCAAGCACAGGCATTTAAAAAATGAGGGGGTCTTTTCCACACCTGCATGCCACCCTTCTAAAGGCTCGGGCTTTGGGCTCCCGACCCACAGCTCCCATAATAGCAGGCTCTGGGAGGTACCAGAAGCAACCTTCTCTGCGGGAGGAGGGCAGCTGCTCTGGGCCAGGCAGTGAGCAGTGCAGCCACACCCCCTCCCTGGTGGTAGCAGTGAGCTAAAGGGTAGATCATCCCTGCTGGTGAGCCCAGAAACTTACATGTGTGATGTGAGTGCTGGGGCCGAGGTAGGAGTTTCCCCACAGTCCTTGGAGAGAATTAGAGTCCCTAAGACGTAAGTAGTAAAGGAAACTGCCATTCCATTCGTACCCATGGCCCAGGGACATCCTTGAAATTTGTGACACAGTATTTGATTTCTTTATTCCTTTTTCTAACTTAAATACATCATAGTGTGGAAATGAGATGGCTCTTTTTTGTAATCAAGTTATGGCTTTCACAAATCAACACATCCATTCTCTGTACAGACTTCTTTTGCTTTTCCCCTTTTTAAAAATCTTTATTGAGCGTCGTCCCATGGACTGGGAGGTCCCGGTTTGGTTCCTGGTCAGGGCACATGCCCTGGGTTGTGAGCTTGATCCCCAGTAGGGGGCGTGCAGGAGGCAGTCAATCAATGTCTCTCTCTCTCTCTTTCCCCCTTACTCTCTCTCTCTCTCTCTTTCCCCCTTACTCTCTCTCTCTCTTTAAAACTCAATAAAAACATACTTAAAAAAATAAAATAAAAATCTTTATTGCTTCTTTATTTCCCAAATAATAAACTTCAAATTCCTTGGCTCAGAGTGGTAGGCCCTCAAAAATTCCTTCCAACTTCCCTCTTCAGAATTAGCTTCCTAGCACTCTCTCCCACACTCTGTTTCTTTAGCCACAGTACATTTTAAGTCAATTTCTTTCGCATTTTGTAGCTTTCACATACAGCCCCTCCCTAGTGTAAGGGTATGTGCTGATGGTCTCTTGTCATTTCTCCATTCTTTGTTTGGAGAACTAAGTTAGCACAGGACTGAACTTAATGACAAATTTCCTAATGCAAAGGAAATCTTTTCGTTTTTGAACATTTCTGTAAATATCAGAGAGGGCTCTCTTCTTTCTTACAAATGAACATAATTCATGTCTTCCCTCCAACCAAAAAATATAGGGACTCAAATACCATGGTTCTGAGCACCAAATTCAGATCCTGGCTGAGGAATCATTTGTGGGATTGCTTGGTTAACCTCTGTCACACACATTATGTGGCAGCTCCATGAGGACACAGGTCATGTGTGTTTTCTTCAACACTGTATTAGCTCATGCCTATCATGTAGTAGTCACTCAAAATAATTGTCAAATATATATTTGGTGGGGGGTGGGGTGGGGAGAGAGACTTCAATTTGTTGTTCCACTTACTGTATTCATTGGTTGATTTTTGTATGTGCCCTGGTCAAGAATTGAACCTGCAACCTTGGTGTATTGAGACAATGTCTAACCCCCCTAGTTACCCAGACAGGGCAATTGTCAAATATTAATGAAGAGTAAACGAAAGACTGCATCAGTGAATAAATTGGACTTGAATCCCCAAATGTCATTGAAAGTTATAATTACTAGTTTGAAACACATAGTCTCCCAAAACTAGATCAGGAAGAGATAGAAAACTTGAACAGACCAATAACAACAGAAGAAATTGAAGATGTAATCAAGACTCTCCCAGCAAACAAAAGCCCAGGCCCAGATGGCTTCACGGGGGAGTTTTACCGAACATTCAAAGAAGAACTAATACCCATTCTCCTCAAACTATTTCAAGAAATTCAAGAAGAAGGAAGACTTCCAAACACATTCTATGAGGTCAGCATAATTCTAATTCCAAAACCAGAAAAAGACACAACAAAGAAAGAAAACTACAGGCCAATATCCCTGATGAACATAGACGCCAAAATCCTAAACAAAATACTAGCAAATCGGATCCAGAAATACACCAAAAAAATTATCCACCATGACCAAGTGGGATTTATCCCAAGGATGCAAGGCTGGTACAATATTCGCAAATCCATAAACATGATACACCACGTAAATAAAATGAAGAATAAAAACCACATGATAATATCAATAGATGCTGAAAAAGCCTTCGACAAAATCCAGCATCCATTTCTCATAAAAACGCTCAGCAGTGTGGGAATAGAGGGATCATATCTAGACATAATAAAGGCCATATATGAAAGACCTACAGCCAACATCATACTCAATGGGCAAAAACTAAAAGCATTTCCCTTAAGAACAGGAACAAGGCAAGGATGCCCACTTTCGCCACTCCTATTTAACATAGTTCTAGAAGTCTTAGCCACAGCAATCAGACAGGAAGAAAAAATAAAAGGGATCCAAATCGGAAAGGAGGAAGTGAAATTGTCATTATTTGCAGATGACATGATACTGTACATAGAAGACCCCAAAGACTCCATCAAAAGTTTACTAGATTTAATAAATGAATTTGGCAAAGTAGCAGGATACAAAATTAACGTCAAGAAATTGATGGCGTTCTTATACACCAATAATGAACTCACAGAAAGAGAAACTAAGCAAAAAATCCCATTTACCATTGTGGCAAAAAAAATTAAGATACCTAGGAATAAACTTAACCAAAGAAATAAATGACCTATTTGCAGAAAACTACAGGTCATTGAAAAAAGAAATAGAAGAAGATATAAAAAAGTGGGAGCACATACCTTGTTCATGGATTGGGAGAATTAACATCATTAAAATGTCCATATTACCCAAAGCAATCTATAGATTCAACGCAATCCCCATCAAAATACCAACGGCATACTTCACAGAACTAGAACAAATACTTCAAAAATTCATATGGAACCAAAAAAGGCCTCGAATAGCCACAGCAATATTGAAAAGGAAGAACAAAGTTGGAGGGATCACAATACCAGATTTCAGGTTATACTACAAAGCCACTGTAATCAAAACAGCCTGGTACTGTCACAAGAACAGGCATATAGACCAGTGGAACAGAACAGAGAACCCAGAGATGGACCCAAGGCAATATGCTCAATTAATATTTGACAAAGGTGGCAAGAGCATACAGTGGAGTAAGGACAGCCTTTTTAATAAATGGTGCTGGGAAAATTGGACAGCTACTTGCAAAAAAATGAAACTAGACCATCAACTTACACCCTACACGAGAATAAACTCAAAATGGATAAAGGACTTAAATGTAACTCATGAATCCATCAAAATCCTAGAAGAGACTGTAGGCAACAAAATTTCAGACATCATACGCAGCAGAATTTTTACTGACATAACCTAAGGCAATAGAAACAAAGGAGAAAATGAACACATGGGACTACATCAAACTCAAAAGCTTCTGCACAGCGAAAGATACAATCATTAAAATGGAAAGGCTACCCACTGTATGGGAGAGCATAATTGCCAATGATATATCAGATAATAGGTTAATTTCCAATACATATAGAGTGCTCATACAACTCCACAAAAGGAAGACAAAGAATCCAATTAAAAAATGGGCAGAGGAACTGAACAGACACCTCTCTAAACAGGACATACAAATGGCTAAGAAACATATGAAGAAATGCTCATCATCACTAATCATCAGAGAGATGCAAATTAAAACAACAATGAGGTATCACCTCACACCTGTCAGAATGGCCACCATCAATAAATCATCAAACAACAAGTGTTGGCGAGGGTGTGGAGAAAAGGGGACTCTAGTGTACTGCTGGTGGGAATGCAGACTGGTGCAGCCACTATGGAAAACAATATGGTGTTACCTCAAAAAATTAAAAATGGAACTTCCATTTGACCCAGTGATCTCACTTCTAGGAATATATCCTAAGAAGCCTGAAACACCAACCAGAAAGAATACATGTACCACCATGTTTGTAGCAGCACTATTTACAATAGCTAAGATCTGGAAACAGCCCAAGTTTCCATCAGTAGACGAATGGATAAAAAAGCTGTGGTACATATACACAATGGAGTACAACGCAGCTGTAAGAAAGAAAGACCTCTTATCATTTGAGACTACATGGAGGGACCTGGAAAGCATCATCCTAAGTGAAACAAGCCAAACAGAGAAAGACAAGTTTCATATGATCTCACTTATTTGTGGAATATAATGAACATAACAGTCTGAGGAAGGGGGTAGTCCCAGAGATGCGGAAGTGGGGTACAGACTGACAATCCCCTAAATAGGGGGGTGGTGGGGAAGAGATAAACCACAGAACTTATATGCATGTATGCATGAACAGTGGACATGGACAACAAACTGGGGAAAGGGCAGGGAGGGAGGGGGAGGGGGGGATCAGTGGGGGTGAAAAGGAGAAACATCTGTAACAAAAATTAATTAATAAAGAAAAAAACAACGAAAGTTATAATTACTAGTTTGGAAGTTTCTACCAATCTCATGTAAATCGGGATAGGCCCTCAGGTTGGACGTGCTGAATAATGCCTCCAGAACTGTCCTGTCAAACACTTTCTCCAGTTCACTGAGAACATTATACGCCACTGTGTCCATGGGTACCAGATTTATACAAGCTTCTTGATAATTCTGAAAAACAATGAATAGAAATTGTATAGATATGCATTGATGAGTTACAGAATATTCAGGTTGTAAATAGACTATTTGTTCTCTTGTAAAGTGTTAAAATAGTACATATATTTAGATGACTCCTTAAATATTCACCACCAGAAAAATAGTCTTATTTTATGAACCTAACTCTGACATTGACGTACACTTAGAGAACTATTTTGAAGAATAAAAGTGGGTCCAAGTTGAATATTGCGTGGGGGCTCTAAGCGTCTGGCCAGGACGCTTCAGGAGTCCCTGACTGGTATGAGTGACATTTTGGTGACTAGACAACACCCCACTGTCCTCCAATGGCCTGAAGTCTCCAGGAAACCAGACAACCAGTCTCCCTGCTCTGGACCTGGCCAAAGGGCAAAGAAAATTCACAAATAGAGAGAAAGCTTGTCTTCAGTATCCTTAGGAAGACCCACCATTAAGCTTTAGCTGCAATTATAAGGCTCCAGAGACGTCTAAAGAACAAGAAACGATTTGGATAGAGAGCAGCAAGCATCTACTTTCCAATTTATCCTAATGAGACACGACTTCTTTGTGAGTTTCAATTATCTCAGGTTCAAGTGTGTCAAATAAGAGGGCTTTGTAATGAAATGTTACCGAAGTCATTTATTTACGTTATAGTTATCAGTGTTCTATTGTATAAATATACCTAAAATGTTCTGTACCTAAGGAGCATTCCCATTTTCAATCCTGCCACATTTCCATTCCATGTCCCTCCAGCAACACTTACTACAGAAGAAGGAATGCTTTCTGGGATGCTGCTTCTCCTGCCACCTCCTAAAGTATAGGACGGTGAAGAGCCCACAGGAGGTCTCTTAGCCTGTCCACTGCATCCTGAAGTTTGCAATAATACAGCGAGAGGGTGTTTATCAGAAGAGAAGTCTCCTCACTTACTAAATACATCTGCTCGGGGATGAAGCCGTGGTCTCGGAGGCCCATAAGAAAAGGAAATGGCTTTGTTATTGCACTTGCAATCTCCACCTTATTTTTTTTGAAGAACCTGAAGATGAACTCAAATAAATCCTGTTCCTCTGGACTCTCATCCTCTGGGCTCTGGTCCCCAGTGTACATCCTAAGAAACAAAGACACAATGTGAAAATAAACATTGGGTTTCTAAGAGGCTTATGGTGGCTGGAAGATTTGAGACATGAAAGACAGTCAATGAAGAGCCAACACATGTAAAACAGTGTTCCTGGGGAGATATCAGAATAAATGGAACTTATTTATTTAGAGAATAATCAAGGGTGCAATAGAAGAAAACACTGAGTTTAGGAAAGACTTGTACATAGAAGTGAAAGAGTTCACCCTGTGCTAATCAGAACTACTGTAAAAAGACTTTCACCTGAACCTTGTAGGGAAGATGAAGAATTTTTAAATGTTAACATTTTTACAAGAATGAATATGATATTGTGATGGTTAATTTTATGTGTCAACTAGGATGGTGTTTTGGACAAGATTGAAATTTAAATCGTTAAACTTTGAGTAAGCAGTTTGCCCTCCATAATGTGGGTGGGCCTCACCCAATCAGTTGAAAGCATGGAAAAAAAAACAAAACAAAACAAAACCCAGCATCCCCGAGTAAGAAGAAATCCTCCAGCAAACTGCTTTCAGACTGGAAATGCACTGTGAGCTGTTTAGGTCTCCAGCCTATTGACCCACACTGCAGATTTTGGATTTGCCAACCTCCATTGCGTGTGAGCCAATTCCTTGTAACATATATCAAAAATCTCTCTCTCTTTCTCCCTTCCTCCCTCCCTCCCTTATGTTCTGTTTATTTGGAAAAGTGTTACTAATACAGATGTAAAACAAAAAAGATTACAAAAATTAAAAAACTGTGGATAAAGAATAGGGTTCTATGGACAGCAACCTCACAGGGTGATCAGACCATAAATTCCTAACTGGGCAAGTTATGGTGGGTAGTCACACCCAAGATATATAACTTCTTTGCTAAAAAGCTTATCTTTGCCTTAAGCAAGCCATGTCCATTGTTTCTCTGCATCTAGGTTAACACACATTCGAAATGCCAGAGCAATCCTCTTCTCAGACGCCTCGGAGGCATGACCACCCTCATAAGAGCAAATGACCTTGTTGCCTATGTACCATCTTTATTCACTGTAAATATTAAATGTTAACGATCTTATAGCCACCAAAGTAAAAGAAGCATGTCTCTCTATTTTACTTGTTATCCAATCATAGGGATTTCCCACTTTTCTTTCTCTGTCTTCTTGATCTACCACCAATGGAAATCATGTAATCTTCCTTCCACTTTTAATTTCAAATGTACCAAGAAAAAAAAAAAAAAGACTGCAAAATTGCCATTCTTTGGAGCAGTTTCTCAATTCATTAAGAGCTTGCTTCTGGGCAAGTCCTCAGTTTGCTTAAATGAACTCTAATTGGTGCTGTATAGGCTTGGATATTCTTACGTTGACAGTCCCCCGCGATTGTGCAAGACCTGTTCAGGTGTCACCAAAGTGAAAACTGTTTTCATCATAATACAAAGATATACTGTATTTACCCTTCTTGTCTCTCATCCTCTGACAAATGTATAGTGAAATTTTCCAGAGGATACATAGCCTATGGTATCACAATAGATTGAATTCAGAATCAGATGGCAAAATCTACCCGTCTTCCACTGAACCAACTACTAAGGGGATTTGCAAAGTGTCAAGTATTACTATCTTCTCAGTAAAATTTATTTTAGTTTGAAACACATAATTATTTGTCATAAAATATGTTATTTATGCTAGCAGGTAATGAGTTCATTATTATTTTTCTAATTAATAAATAAATATGTTTAAGTATTCAAAGTTTTAATTCCTATGTGGTAAATATCAATAGATACAACCCACATGAACAAAACTGAGCTCTTTGGGGCTCTCAGTGATATGGAAGTATACACAGGGGTCCTGAAGGCAAAGAATTTGAGAAAATTGTTTTAGAAAGAGAGATATAATAGGAAAATTATAATAATTTAAATGTAAAACATCAGATTATATTAACATTTTTAATTGAATGAGGGGCAATTAAAAAACTCAGTTAAATTAGTGATTTCAAAGATAGTAAACTCAAATAACATGGTTTCACATTTGATGCTATCATTTAGAGAATATACATCAGAAAGTTAATTAGAAAACCTAAGGGTAACAAATAGAGCCAAAATGAGACTATAATTCTTACCAAAAAAAAAAAGTAAAGAAATTAGAAAATATACTGTTATGTTTTAAAAATTTGTTTTTCCTTTATTGATTTTAGAGAGAGGGGAAGTGAGAGGGAGAGAGAGAGAGAGAAACATCAATGAGAGAAAACATCAATTGGCTGCCTCCTGCATGCCCCCCCACTGGGGATTTGGCCCACAACCTGGGCATGTGCCCTTACGGGGAATTGAACTGGCAACTTCTTGGTGCATGGGTTGATGCTCAACCAGTGAACCACACTGGCTGGACTACTCTTTTATTTTTAATCAGAGAAAACAAAGAGGCATAAGATATAAAAAGTGCAAAAAATGTATAAGCAAGGAGATATATGTCATTTAAAACAGATTGAACTAGCCTGATTGGTGTGGCTCAGTGGATGAATTATCACCTTATGGACTGAGAAGTCTGGGTTTGATTCCCGGTCAGGGCACATGCCTGGGTTTGGGGCTCAATCCCCAGTTGGGGGCATGCAGGAAGCAGCTGATCAATGTTTCTCTTACATTGATGTTTCTATCTCTCCCTCCCTTTCTCTCTAAAAGAATCAATGAAAACCTATTTATAAAATAAATAAAACAGCCCTGGCCGGTTTGGCTCAGCGGTTGGAGCGTCAGCCTGCGGTACAGAGAGACCCGGGTTCGGTTCCTGCTAAGGGCACGTACCTCGGTTGCAGTTTGTCCCCGGCCCTGGTTGGTCGTGCGGGTGGCAGCCACTCGATGTGTCCCTTCACGTCGATGTTTCTCTCTCTCTCTCCCTCCCACTCTATCTGAGCAAAAAATGGAAAAATGCCCTCGGGTGAGGATAAAAAAAAATAAATAAATAAAACAGATTAAACTATCATCTTAAAGTATTAATGGTCAAAATAGAATCTAACTACAAAAGATGCAACAAAAACAAAGTGACATTAAAAGTGCTAAATTTAAAAGATGGGCAGGTTTTATTAGACAAATGCGCGATAGAAAACAAAAGTCATGATATTTGTATTTTCAAAGTAAAACTCAAGACTATGAATAGATACATTTTCATGGTGATTAAAAGCCACTTTACATCGTATCCTTAATTCCTAAAGTATTATTTAAACACACACACACACACACACGATATAAATTTCACAAATTAGCAAAATACATTTACTAATAACTCTTGGTCTTAAACACACAAGAACATATCAAGTATTTGACCTTAAAATGATCTAAATAAATAATGAGGAAAAAAAAATAGTTACATGTTCTGGCTTTAAGATCATGTTACAAGATCAAATTTTAAAACAAAAAGAAAAGTTTTTAAAGAAAAAAATCTAAACTTAGGGAGATTTTAAAAGTTGACTAGACTTTGGTTTCAGCACTGACATGCAAATATCTTGGAAGTGATGACACTTTCGTCCTTACAGAAAGTAAAACTGAACAAACTAAAAATCAGTGACTTGTCATATCTAGCAGAAAATTGAGGTCACAGGGAACACTGCCACCCTAAAAGTTGTATGGATAAGTAAATTTGGAGAATCACAGATAAAATCAGCCACCTGAAGCAGAAGTCACTAGATCCATAAACCAGTAGAAACACTTAAATGGTAAGTTTGATGAACTGCTGGAGGCTGTTGACTTGCATAACAATGAGAACCGTTTGTTGGTTTTTCCTCCAGAAACCTCACCAGGTATTCATGGTGAAAAGCCAAGAAAAACCCCTTGTACTTCCAGCAGGAGTATGGGGAAACAAAACCTTTTGAAACAATCAAAGTATTCTCCATAACAAGGGCCTACTCTCCAAGGAAAACACTTTACCCGGAGACTTATCTGACCTAGGGAAAGGGGAGTTACCAAAATCAAGTCCTTTCTAGCCTTTCAGCCTCATCCAAATGTGGCATGGAAGGGATACAGCTATAAAACCATTCTAAAAGGTACAGTCCAGGGACACAGTTCCACTAAAAGATTAAGATTTAATCATAAGGCCCTGGCCGGTTTGGCTCAGCGGTTAGAGCGTCGGCCTGCGGTCCGGAGAGACCCGGGTTCGGTTTCCGCTAAGGGCATATACCTCGGTTGCAGTTTGTCCCCGGCCCTGGTTGGTCGTGCAGGTGGCAGCCACTCGATGTGTCCCTTTCACGTCGATGTTTCTCTCTCTCTGTTCCTCTCTCTCTCTCTCTCTGTTCCTCTCTCTCCCTCCCACTCTACCTGAACAAAAAATGGAAAAATGTCCTCGGGTGAGGATAAAAAAAAAAAAAAAAAAAGATTTAATCATAAGATTATAGAATACTCTCCCTTCCAAACACAAGTAACAGATCACTTTGTAGCTATGCCAGATGGCCCCAGGCAGAACACAGGCAGCAGCTGATCTTGGTCTGCACTTCCTGGGAGGCCCCAGAGCCAGTGCACCCGGTGGACAGCTTCAGACCACGTCAAAGCACCACCCACAAGTGACATACTCAAGGAGTGGACTCAGTAGGCACCAGAGCCCCACTGAAGTAAGTCCTCTCTGGTGGGGTGGCCCCTGTACAGTTGATTCTCCACAATGGCTGCAGCCAGTCTTTGAAACCAATTGACCTGGGGGTAAATCTCTCTCATTGATGTGCCAACAGCAATCAAGTTTCAACTACAGCAGGAATATGTACATAGCCCACATTGGGGGGCACATCAGGAGTGCCCAGCTCAGGTGAACCAGTAGGCTGTGTCACTGGTCCCTATAGGACACCTACTAAAAAGTCATTCTACCAGCTTGACCTAATACATAGAAACACACACAGGGAGGCTGCCAAAATGAGACAAAGAAACATTTCCAAAATAAAATAACAGAACAAAACTCCAGAAAAAGTACTAAAATAAATAGAGACAAGCAACCTACTAGATAGAGTTCAAAACACTGGTTAAAAGGATGCTCCATGAACTTAGGGGAAGAGTAAATGAACTTAGACTTTCAACAGCATTAAAAAAGGACACAGAAACTATAAAAACAATCAATCAGAAACGAAGGCTATGCTAACAGAACTGAAGAATAATTTACAGGGAATCAACAGTAGAGTAGATGAAGCCAAGAATCAAAATATCCATTTAAAATATAAGGAAGCAAAAAACACCTAATCAGTATAGCAAAAAGAAAAAAGAATTATAAAAAATTAGAATAGTGTAAGGAGCCTCTGGGATAACTTAAAGTATACCAACATTTGCATCATGGGAGTGCCAGAAGGAGAAGAGAGAGCAAGACATTAAAAACTATTTGAAAAAATAATAATGAAAGAATTTCCTATCCTGGATATAAAAGTCCAGAAAGCTCATGGAGTTCCATACAAGACGAGCCCAAAGAGGCCCACACTGAGACACATCATAATTAAAACACAAAAGGTTAAACATAGAGAGAATCTTAAAAGCAGTAAGAGAAACCAGTTAGTTACCTACGAGGGAGCTCCCATGAGACTGTCAGCTGATTTCACAGCTATCATTTAGAATCAAAGGACAGATAAAGAGCTTCCCAGACAAGAACAAGCTAAAAGAATTCATCACCACCAAACCAGTATTATATGAAAGGTTAAAGGGTCTTTTTTAAGAAAAAGAAATAAATGATTAAAATTATAAACAATAAAATGGCAAAAGATACATATCTATTGACAATTGAATCTAAAACACAAAATAAATTCACAAATAGAATAGAAACAGACTCATAGATACAGAGAATATTCTGACAGCTGCCAGATGGGAGGGAGGCTGGAGGAATGGGTGAAAAAGGTGGAAGGATTAACAAGTACAAATTGGTAGTTACAGAATGGTCATGGGATGTAAAGTACAGCATAGGGAATATAGTCAATAATGTCCTAATAACTCTATATGGTGTCAGATGGAGATAAGATGTATTGGGATGATCATTTAGTAAGTTATGTAATGTCTAAACACTGGGATGTATACCTAAAACTAATATAATATTGTATGTCAACTGTAATTGAAAAATAAAAAACAATTTAAATTTAAAAATATTTAAGTGTATCAAAGTACATGATACAAAAGTTGATAAATTAAAAGGAAAAAATAGGCAAATACACTACTACTATTGAAGAATTTGCAGAGAGTAAAGATAGGACATACACAAAATGGAAGAAAGACTCCATATTTGTTTTATCAGCCTGGGTACTTAAATTTTTTTGAACTTTCCAGTCTTATGTCAACGCTAAGATATGCATCAAGACTTTCACATAACCCTCTTATTACCCTCTTACGTGTTCACATATACATACACCCAACATCCATTATCCAGACCACCAGACATGACTGGACCTCCTGGTGCCCATCTTCTGGACATCCTAGCAGCCATCATCCATTCTGACATCTGACTGATAACTGTCCTAAACCAATCTGAAAACTAAGAATGCAGGACTGATAATTCTCAAGCAGGTACTTTTTACTATAAGAACTTTAAACTTTTTTCTTCTCTGGAACACTTGGGTTTTTACCTGTCTTTCCAGTTTGCAAACTCCAAGACTCTTGAATAAATCTTTATCATGTATTTCTAGTCAAAGCCTCTATATTCTTTTTGAGATTGTTTGACAACTTCAATACGCTCTTTTAGTAGTTGATAGATCAAGCAGGCAGAAAGTCAGTAAGAATATAGTTGACCTGAACAGCACCATCAATCAATTTTATCTAATTGACATTTATAATATACTCCTTTCAACAATAACAAAGTACATATATCCTTGAGGTCACATGGAATATTGTCAAAATAGACCACATTCTGGCCTATCAAACAGACCCCAACAAATTTAAAAGGAGAGAAATCATAAAATAAAATAAAAATATGTTCTCAGATGATAATAGAATTAAAGTAGAAATAACAGAAAGATAGTTGTAAAATCCCCAAACACTCGGAGATTAAACAACACACTTCTAAAACCAAAAAGGAAGTCTCAAGAGAAACTTAAACATATTTTGAACTAAATGAGAATGAAAACACAGCTTATCAAAATTTACGGGATGTAGCAAAAGCAGTGCTTAGGGGAAAATGTATAGCATTAAAATGCACATATCAGAAAAGAAGCAAGAGCTACATCAATAATCTAAGCTACCATCTAAAGAAACTAGAGAAAAAAGAAAAAAGAAATATAAAGCTTAATGCAAGCAGAAGAGGAATCAAAAGAGTTAGAGTAGAACTCAATGAAATAGAAAACGGAAAAACATTACAGAAAATCAATAAAACCAAAAGCTGATTTAAAAATAATAATAATAAAATGAACAGGATAACAAAAAAAGAGAGAGAGAAGACAAATTACTAATATCAGAAACAAACAAAAAACCATTACTGTTCATCCCACAGATGTTAAAGAACAGTAAAAAAATAATATGGACAACTCTATGCCTACAAATTTGATAAAAAATGAGATAGACAAATTCCTTTAAAGATACAAACTACCAAAACTCAACAAAGAAAAATAGATAATCTGAATAGACCTATCTCTGTTAAAGGAATTGGATCAATAATTAATAGCCCCTCTCCAAAAGAAAGCACCAACCCCGATGGTATCACTAGTGACTTCTACCAAACCATTTCAACTACAATCCCTTCTGAAAAATGGAGGCAGAGCATCACCTTCTAACTCATTTTATGAAGTCAGCATTATCCCACCTTCACTTCACAGTACCTTTCTTTTCCTGCTTGTAAGCTGAAGGCTGACTGGACGTCTAGCTCTACTCTCTCATCTCCCATGTCACAGAAGCAGGTAGAGGAGTGGTGGTCAGGCCCACCTTCTGCCACCAGGAGACACGGTGCTGGTTGCTGAGAACCCACCATATTGTGCCACTGCTGTAACGATGCTGCCCCAGCTCAGAGTTCAGGGTCAGGGGACTTTCCATGCAATTATACATTGTTTTAATTTTTACCAACAAGAATATATTGACATACTTCTCTTACATTTTTTTCAAATTGTTATTTTTTTTAATCTTGCATTTTAAAAGACAATTTACATCCTTCTCTAACCAGATAGGTATTACATCCCCAAATTAGAAAAACAGCACTGCTCAATCCCTACTAGGCCCCGCCTATTTTCACTTCCTCCTATCAAGTCTTCAGCAGAAAGAACTGACCTTTTAGCTCCGAATAAAAGTAGTTTCCCACCACCTGGACACTGGGAAAAGTTTGACAATTGGGATGCTAGTTTTTTGAAAAAAAGAACCTTCTGACAGAGTTGTCTTTGGGTTGTCTTTGGGTGGGGACAGAGGAGGGAGGCATGGGGGAACAGAGAGGGTTCAGGGAAGTAGGAACCCATTGAGCCCTGCAGCAACGCCCAGCTCTGTGGCCCTGGGGAGGAAATACGGTGATATGAGTCAGGTGGCCTCAAATATCCCCACTTTAATTTTAAACACCTCACATGCTCATTCTGCCGTCATTTGTAATCTCATTCCATTGCAGACCTGTAGAAGGAGGCTGGGCAGACAGAAATAACCAGAGCAGATGCCGACCTTACCCGAGAAGGACAGGAGAGGACACCAGGACTGACCTGCAGCCGAGGTCACTGCCTCTGCCCACCATGCGCTGGCCCCAGCGGGCCGGGGAGCTGGCCTAGGATCAGCCCGCTCGGACCTGCTCAGCCTGCCCGCCCGCCCCCAGCTGCCCCGTGAAGTCCTTCGGGTGCGGCACCCAAAGGGTAAAAGAAAAGTGAAATGGCTTCTCAGTGTGACGTGTCTGTCCCTCCGCTCGAACCTCTCAGTTCCGGGAGGAGGAGCATGGGCAGATGGAGGGGGAAGATGGGTGGCCCTCTTCCAGGAAGATGGGTTCACACAAGGGAAGATGAGGGAAGTCAACTCAAAGGGTCAGAGTTGAATTGAGGGGAGGCGCACAGTCCTTCGGGGCGCAGTGCGCTGCGCATCTGCCCCTTCCCTTGCCCAGGGCATGTTTGGACATGGGGCTGGGGACCGGCCAAACGCCCAGCGTTGTGCAGTGACGTTCTTCACATTTCTGGAAAGCAGCCAGAGTAGAGAGAACTGTCCCACTCTTGCAACCAGAGGGATGTGCCAAGTTTGGGCAGAGAGTGTGGAATTCTGAGGATGTGGGCACTTTGCAAATGAAGCCGAGTTACTAAGAAAACAGAGGCCCTGGCCGGTTTGGCTCAGCGGTTAGAGCGTCAGCCTGCGGTCCAGAGAGACCCGGCTAAGGGCATGTACCTCGGTTGCAGATTGTTCCCGGCCCTGGTTGGTCGTGTGGGTGGCAGCCACTCGATGTGCCCCTTTCACGTCGATGTTTCTCTCTCTCGCTCGCTGTTCCTCTCTCTCCCCCTCCCACTCTACCTGAACGAAAAAATGGAAAAATGTCCTCGGGTGAGGATAAAAAACAAACAAAAACAAAAAACCCCACTGAGCTGCAGCTAGTCACTGAGATCTTGAGCAGAGCAACAGGCTTCTCATCAGATGGGGAAAGGCTTAGAGTTCTAAGCCACTGCCTTGGCCCGAAAGGACACGGAGGTGGTAACTAACCAGTGTGTGGCATCTCTGTGCACGACTCTCCGCTTACTCCCAGCCCTCCTTCGTGAAGCATTTGAAGCAGTTTATAGAAACACACGGTATCAGCATAAAGTCGAAAGATAAATAAATGGGAGCAATGCGATAATTAAATAAAGACACAAAACCAGAGGATTAAAATCCAGGCAGGACGGGGGGAGGGGGGGGTCTAAGACAGAAGTGCATGGGAACGAGGGTGTGTGGGAACCCAGGGCCTCAGTCACAGAGGGAGCCCAAGGGCAGGAAGCACAGCAGTCTTTTCCCAAAGTGTGTTCCTCCGAATCCCACTTCATCTGGCTCATCATAGGTGGGCTCAGAATTTTGCATAAATATTTTTTGCAAAATATAGAAGGCAGGGATTTCTATTCCTCTGCCAACTTTTGCTTTTTCTTTCTCCTCAAAAGATTCCAGGACAGTGGGCAGTCTGTATGCCTGCCAGATGCTACACACATGAGTCTCTTTCTCTTTCTCTCTCTTGCTCTTCCTTCCTTCCTTCCTCTTTCCTTCCCTCCCTCACCGTCTCCTTCTCTATCTCCTGACTTTGTCAGGCGGAGGAGCTGGTAAGCCGAGCCTCTGGTAGGCACCACTGTCCACTGTTCTCATCCTCTATAGGCCACGATGGCCCTGACAACGCCTGGCACAGACTACACCAGCCACTCTGGTGTCCCTCTCTCTCCTCTCTCTTCACCCTAGGCAGCAGGCTGATCCAGGCCACCACTGAGCTGGGCAGTGACAACAATGTTCCAATTTCTTTTGCTGATAAGCACAAGGTCTTTGGTGTTCCTCAGCTGACTGCTGGTGAGCCTGGGATTGAAGGATTATTCCTTTCAAATGTATAAGAAAGCCCTACTTTGCAATATCATGCATTAGCCCAAATACTAATGAGCTGGAATTTTAGGTTCTATTCTCCACTGTGACTTTTCTCTACATTGACTGGAGATTCAGTCTCTCTGGGATAAAGGATTCCTGGGCCATGACTATCAGAAGGTCCCTGGTTTCTAACACAACTGTAGAGTTGTCTTCTTTTCCTTCCATGGGACCCATGGGGTAAGAAATTCCAGCCTGCCTCATTCCTCTGCTCCCATCAAGATTTAGGCTACTAGGTGATAATCTCTGAAGGCAAGTTGATGCTTTCTTTCTATCTGAAAGATTTCTCTCCATTGTGCTAAATGTGCCAATATCTGACACTTGGAATTGGGAGTGGTTATCGGGTCCTGCTCACAATCCAGTGCCACGAGTTAATTTGCTCGCCTGCCCCGCTTGCTCAAGTCTAGCAAACTCCCACCTTGGAACAGTCATGGGATGGTCACTATTTCTATGTCCAATTAGGTCACATAACAGTCCCAGACTAACCACATTTCTGTGAAGATCTGTTGCCTACATTTCATTCTCTGGTGCCAATTTTTTAATCAGGGGTACAAGTAACCAAATGGACTCTGGCTAACTCCGCAGAAGATCAGTTTCTTGGAAGTATATTCAGTCGCTCAGAGAATTTAAGAGAAGGCTGGAGAACAGGGATAAGAACATAGGCAATCGAGGCAGTAAGATCCCCAGCCTGGGTCAGCCCACCGGTCTCAGGTACGAGGTATGTGTCCATTGATTTGGCATATGTGTTCTCTCTATTCTGATTAGAGAGGAGAATCAGTTTCATTCTCACATGACAAATAAGAGTGTTCATTTACAGTTTTGTCTTGGGATAGCATTGTCATAATCTAGTTCAAAGATATCTGGGTTGCCTGCACATCCCATAGACCATTACACTGATGGATTACATTGGTGACATCATAGTGACCAGACAGAATGAGCAAGAGGTGGCCGGCACACCTGCTACAGAGAAATAAATTACTTATTTGCCACAACTGAAATGAATCTCAGAAGCATTATAATGAGCAAAGGAAGCCACACATCAGAAATCACATACTACTGTTTCCGTTGGCGGAGAACTTGAATATAGGCTAAATGGATCTGTAGTGATAGAAAGCAGATCAGGGGTTGCCTGAAGCTGGGGTGGCAGAGGAGATACCTGCAAAGGGCACATGGGAACTTTCAGGGGCGATGGAAGGGTCTGTTTTCATTGTGGTTCCACACTCTCTCCACTTCCAGCTGCCTGCCTGGCTCCCAGATACTTTCCAGCCTGGAGGTCTGCCTACCTCTGCATAATTTCAGTTTATATTTAAGTTCCCTCTGTTTCCATTTTCCTGGGTCATCGCTTGATCCTGACAAACTATAAACATTTCTGAGCTGCCTTGCTGCCCCTTTAATTCCTTGTTGTTGTTGTTTTTAAACTTTGATGGTTTCTGGTCAAAGTACTCAGTTGTGTAACTGTCACCATTATCACAATCCGGTAGAACATTTTCATCACCCCTGAAATGTACAGAAGGACAAGTCCTGGGAAATAGAGGTGGGTAGGGAAGCAGACCCACGGTGGCTTCTCAGATCCCCTGGACCCTGGTGCTGGACCCCCACCCTCTTCCTCTCCCAGGATGGTCCGGATGGGGAGCACCCGCCCCCACCAGCACCAACCCAGGTGCCTTAACAATCTCACAAGTTTCCAGGGGGTGGAGCGAGGCTGCAGGCACAGCCTTCAGCTTCCGGCACAAACTGCTCAAAATACTTTCACTTTTCTTTCCTGGGAAGCCAGGCCCTCTCCACCGCGAGTGCCAGGCAGACTTCCTGCCTCACCCTCGGCGGCTCCCTGCAGGTCTCCCGTCTTCCAGGAGCGACCCCTGGCTGGCCCTGCACCTGGGAAGGGGAAGGAGCAGGTGGAAAACTCTGCATCCAGGTGAGTTTTCAATTTGGGTGCTTTATTTGTTTTTGGTGATTGGACTTTTATGATTCATCCCCTGGCAGCAGCAGTGTGGAACGCAACTGTTTAAACTGCGAGGTTCACTCTGTAAAATTGTGTTTTCCAAGGAGAGAGGGTGGGTGGGATTTAACAGGAGTCTGCCGAACAGAGGGCACCGACGGAGGGTTAGGGCACACACAGCTGGACTCTTATTTCCCTAAATTCTAGCCTGTTGTTGTGGGTGGGTAAGACTTGCTCCCCACCCTCCTGTGATCCGGCACTCGGCCCCAGATGGCCACTCATTCACTCTCCACTGTGTGAACGACTCAAAGCAGTGGGAAGCTGGTGAAAAAAGAAAATAAGGAGAGTACATTTAATTTCCTCTGTGTTGTAAACATTTTATATTTTTTCTTTAAGCATATCCATAATTATTTCCCTGAAATAAATTCCTAGAAGTGGAATCTGGGACTCAAGCAAACACATTTTTTAGGACATTTGACCATGATTACTAAGTTAGCATTCCAACCAGGAGAGTCCATGATTATTTATTATTTTCTATCGTGGTTGATTTGATAGGCAAACATGTTATTAAGCTGTCTTCATCTGCACTGTTCCGACCATGTTTTTATTCTATTTATTACACGTTTGACCTAATGGCCTCTTTATGTCTTTTGCTTTTTTCTTACATGGATGTTTGTCTTTTGCTTTTTCATATATATTTTTTTTCAGGTTCAAGACCATTGCTATTTTTATTTTATTTAATTAATTTATTTTTGTTAGAGATGTTTCTCCTTTTTCCCCAATTGACACCCTCCTCCTGATCCTACTGACTATTCATTTTTAAGACTTCTCTACATAATAAAAATGTGAGCACTCATATATGAAACGTGGTGTCAGGTGTTAGTAAGAAACTGGGCTTTGTTCAGATGAGCTCTCCTTTGCCACTGAATACCTTCAACAGGTTGCTTAACCTCTCTGTGCTTCATCCCTGAGAATCATAACAGACACGGAATGAGGAACATCTATCAGGGGGATCACTTCATAAGTTATATAAATGTCTAACACTATGCGGTACACCAGACACTAATGTAATATTGAATGTCAACTGCAATGGAAAAATAACCCCCCAAAAAATGTCTTAAGAGTGAGGGACTAGACCGATGTTCTGTTCTGAGTGCTGTTGATAAATAGTCTTCCTAAACGTAACCCTAAGGCCCCTTCCTCTTCTTCGCTTGTGTTCACTCGGACGTCTGCTCTGTGTTCTTTGCAATGCCCTTCCCTCGCGTACGTCACGGGTGGTAGATTTCTCTCCCTCCTGTTCTCCGTCCTCCAGGTTTCTTCAAAATTATAGACCCCTGTGGCATTTTTTTTCTTGTTTTCTAGTACTGCTCTGGATTTTTCTTTTTTTATAATTTTTTTTTTTTTGGTCTAATTTAAAGGATATGGAGTGAGGAAAAAGAGAGAGACAGGGGTGCTCAATCTGCCACTGGGATTAAATTCCTGGAAATAGTCATTAATTACAGTTTCATTTTTCTCTGGACAGAAAATAAAGTTGGAAAAATGGGATCTCTGTCTGGGTTTTTAACTCTCACTAGATGAATGAATATTCTGTTAATGCCTCCCTTTTCTTGACAATTTGTCAAGAATGTCATCTGTAAAAAGGAGAAACATCTGTAACAAAATAAATTAATTAAAAATAAAAAATAAAAAAATTTTAAAAAGAACTAGTTTTGGAAACTTAAAAAAAAAAAGAATGTCATCTGTACATTTTCTGCCTATTACACCTATTAATATTTTGTCATGGCCCATGAACGGTGAATTTTATAAATGTGGCATAGGCACGGGAAAAGGCATATGTCTGTTCTGAGATTTGAAATAGACACATAAATCAAGTCACCTTTGCTAATCACGTTTTTTCAATTCTTTGTGTTTTTATTTATGTTTTCCCTATTTCTGTGTTGAAGATTGTAGGTTGTTTATTAAAGTTTCTAAGCATTGTCAAGTTTCCATGTTTCTGCCTGTTTGGGGCCATCCCTTTTACATAAGCATTGCTAGTGTGTGCTCTGAGCTGCAGTCCAGGAAATCCTAACTCAGCTCAATGTAGCCACAGGTCATAGTGCTGATGACTTGAGCCAGGAACCAGCACGTCGGGATTTATTCACCTGTATGTACCCCCTGCGGGTTGCACAACTTAGGGCGAGTTATTAAACCTCTCTATGTCTCAGTGTCCTCAACCATAAAAATGGGCGCGATCATAGTAACCATCTTACAAGGTTTTTGTGAAGATCAAATAAGTCCCTGCATGTGAAACCCTTAGAACCAAGTCTGATACCCTTGAGTAATATTAGCTATTTTTAATACCTGCCTGACGTTGAACCGGCAGCCCCTTTGGGATTTCAGAGTCACTTTGCTGATCACTTTTGGCCTCCACTGTTGCTGGGTGTTGGGTTGCTCAGGAGTCTTTGAGGCAGACATCGCTTGGCGGACTGCTGCAGGGATGCTTTGGGGCCTGCGTGCCCACTGAATAGAAAGGGCAGCTTCCCAAGCTCCACAGCATCTTTGCTTCTCTGTTTGTCTCATGCCCCTTCCATAGGATGTTCAACGTGACCCAAGACTTAAAACAGACTCGTCTTCACCAGCACTTTATGCATCGGAAGCTGGAAATCGCCTATGCCATAGCCAAGCCATTTCCCTTCTTCGAAGGCCTTCGTGACAAATCCTTCATCACAGAGAAAATGTACCTGGTGAGTCATGTTGACCACTTGCCCAGGACAGCCCAATCCTCACCAAGAATGCCTGATTATTGAGGTCTCAAACCAACACCCTTCAGGGCTTCTAGAGTTTAGGAGACCTGGACCCAAATGTTTATTGTCAGGGAGAGAGGGTGTCATAGGATGACCTCAAACCAGGTAACTTAAAAGGAAAAAAAATGGCTGAGCTCAGTTAGTTAGAGCATCGTCCAGATATACCAAGGTTGCAAGTTCAATACCGGGTCAGGGCAAATGCAAGAATCAACCAATGAATGCATAAAATAAGTGGAACAACAAGTCAATGTTTTTCTCTGTCTCTCAAAAAAATCATTAATTTTTTTTTTTTTTTTAATGTATTCCCTCACTGTTCTGGAGGTCAGAAGTCTGAAATTAAGGTGTTGGCAAGGTTGATTTTTTTCTAGAGATTCTGACGGAGAATCTGTTCCCTGGCTTTCTTCTGATGGTACCAGCGGTGTTTGGTATTCTTGACTCATAAAAACATCTATTCCCTGCTTCCTTCTCTACATCACCTTATTTGTTTGGGTTTCCGTTTTCCCCTCTAAGGACACTTGCCATTGTGATCTAGGGCCCACCGTAATCCAAAATGATCTCATTTAAAAATTCTTAACTTTCTGTCAGCAAAGACCTTTTTATCCTAACAAAATCGCATTCACAGGTTTCCAGTGGGCATATCTTTGGAGCGAGGGGACACTATTTATCCCACTAATGGCACCATTCTAATTCCTAAGAGCAAGTCACCCACAGTCCATTCTGATGGGAAGAAAGGCAGGCAATGGGAGATGACTATATGTATAAAAATGGCACTTTTTAAATATAATTTGGGGTGTTTAAAGCATTTGCTGAGCCTAGGAAAATGTTACTGGTACAACCATTTTCCCCGCGTCTTAGCCTGGTTGGCTCAGGTTCTCTGAAGATCATAACCCAGATGTCACTCCTCAGAGAGGCCTTCTTGACCTATCGATCTAATTAAGACACCCCCCCCCCCCCATGATTCTCTCTCATAGAAATCTATGATTTTCCTTAAAAAAACTTCTCTCAATAATGATTGTTTTTTATTTATTTTAATATTTTTATTACAGATGTCCCTCCTTTTCTCCCTTTGACACACTTGTCACCATCTCGCTCCCGCCACCCCCTGTTTTCGCTGTACTGGTCTCTGTGTCTATTGGTTATACAGACATGCATATAAATGCTTTCATTTATTCTTCCTGCCCCCCCTACCCCCTTTCCTCTGAGGTTTGTCAGTCTGTTCCCTACTTCCATGTCTCTGGATCTATTTTGTTCATCAGCTTTTGTTCATTATACTCCACAAATAAGTGAGATTATATGATTGTCTTTCTCTGATTGGCTTATTTCACTTAGCATAATACTCTCCAGGTCCCTCCATGTTGTCTCAAGAGGTAAAGGATCTCTTTCTTATAGCTTCATAGTACTCCATTGTTTAAACGTACCACTGCTTTTTTATGCACTCATTTACTGATGAGCACTTGGGCTGTTTCCAGATCTTAGCTATTTTAAGTAGAGCTGCTCTGAACATAGAGGTACATATATTCTTTCTGATTGGTGTTTCAGGCTTCTTAGGATATATTCCTAAAAATGCAATCACTGGGTCAAATGGAAATTTCATTTTTAACTTTTTGAAGAAACACCATGTTTTCCATAGTGGCTGCCCCAGTCTGCATTCCCACCAGCAGTGTACTAGAGTCCCCTTTTCTCCACATCCTTGTTACCTCTTGTTGTTTGATGATTTGTTGATGGCAGCCATTCTGGCAGGTGTACGGTGATACCTCATTGTTGTTTTAATGTGCATCTCTCTGATAATTAGTGATGTTGAACATTTTTTCATGTCTCTTGACCATTTGTATGTCCTATTTGGAGAAGTATCTATTCAGGTCCTCTGACAATTTTTTAATTGGATTGTTTGTCTTCCTTTTGTTGAGTTGTATGAGTACTCTACATATTTTGGATAGTAACCCCTTATCCAGTGTATCATTGGCAAATATGTTCTCCCATACAGTGGGTTCCCTTTTCATTTTGTTGCTTGTTTCTTCTGCCGTGCAGAAGCTTTTTAGTTTGATGTAGTACCATTTATTAATTTTTTTCCTTTGTTTCTCTTGCCTTAGGTGATGTATCTGTGAAAATTCCCCTACTATGATGTCTGAGATTTTTCTGCCTACATTTTCTTCTAGGATTTTTATGGTTTCATGGGTTACATTTAAGTCTTTTATCCATTTTGAGTTTATTCTTTTCTGTGGTGTAAGTTGGTGGTCTGGTTTAATCTTTTTGCATGTAGCTGTTCAATTTTCCCAGCACCATTTATTGAAGAGACTGTCCTTACTCCATTGTATGCTTTTGCCACCTTTGTCAAATATTAATTGAGCATAATATCTTGGGTCTATTTTGGAGTTCTCTGTTCTGTTCCATTGATCTATATGCCTATTTTTGTGCCAGCAACAGGCTGTTTTGATTACAGTGGCTTTGTAGTATAACCTGAAATCTGGAATTGTGATCCCTCCAACTTTGTTCTTCTTTTTCAAGATTGCTGTGGCTATTCGGGGTCTTTATTTGGTTCCATATAAACTTCTGAAGTATTTGTTCTAGATCTATGAAGTATGCCATTGGTATTTTAATAGGGATTGCATAACATCTATAGATTGCTTTGGGCAGTATGGACATTTTAATGATGTTGATTCTTCCAACCCATGAACATGGTATATGCTTCCACTTTTTAATATTTTTCTCTCTCTCTTTTTTCAATGTCCTGTAGTTTTCTGTGAACCAGTCTTTTACCTCCTTGGTTAAATTTATTCCTAGGTATCTTAATTTTTTTTGTTGCAATGGTAAGTGGCATTATTTTTTTAAATTTCTCTTTCTGGCCCTGGCCGGTTTGGCTCAGCGGTTAGAGCATTGGCCTGCGGTCCAGAGAGATCCGGGTTCAGTTCCCGCTAAGGGCACGTACCTCAGTTGCAGTTTGTCCCCAGCCCTGGTTGGTTGTGTGAGTGGCAACCACTTGATGTGTCCCTTTCACATCGATGTTTCTCTCTTTCTCTCTTCCTCTCTCTCTCCCTCCCACTCTACCTGAACAAAAAGTGGAAAAAAGGTCCTCGGGTGAGGATGATAAAAAAAAAATAATAAAAAATAAATAAATAAATAATAATTTCTCTTTCTGTGTGTTCGTTATTGATGTGTAAAAATTTCAATGACTTCTGGGTGTTTATTTTGTATCCTGCTACTTTGCCAAATTCATTTATTAAATCTAGTAGTGTTTTGGTGGAGTCTTTAGGGTTTTCTGTACAATGTCATGTCATCTGCAAATAATGACAGTTTTTCTTACTCCTTTCCAATTTGGATGTTTTTTACTTTTCTTCTTGTCTGATTGATGTGGCGAAGACTTCCAGTACTATGTTGAATAAGAATGGTGGAAGCAGACATCCTGTCTTGTTCCTGTTCTTAAGGAAAATGCTTTTAGTTTTTGTCCATTGAGTATGATGTTGGCTGTAGGTTTGTCATATATGCCCTTTATTATGTTGAGGTATAATCCTTCTAGTTGCACTTTGCTTAGAGGTTTTATAAAAAAAATGGGTGCTGGATTTTGTCAAATGCTTTTTCAGCATTTATTGATATGATCATATGATTTTTATCTTTCTTTTTTTTCATTTAGTGTATCACATTTATTGATTTGTGAATATTGTACCAGACTTGTATCCCTGGGATAAATCTCACTCAGTTGTGCTATATAATTTTTAAAAATATATTACTGAAAAGCAGCTCTACCTAATACATAGAAACAAACACAGGGAGGCAGCCAAAATGAGGAGACAAAGAAACATGTCCCAAATGAAAGAACAGAACAAAACTCCAGGAAAAGAACTAAATGAATGGAGATAAACAATCTGACAGATGTAGAATTCAAAACACTGCTTATAAGGACACTCAGTGAACTTGGTGAGTATTTCAAGGAACTTCATGAGGACCTCAAGAGCATAATAAAGTACCAGTCAGAAATGAAGGATGTAATAACTGAAATAAAGAATAACTTACAGAGAATCAATAGGAGAGTAGGTAAAGCCAAGAAGCAAACCATCGATTTGGAATATAAGGAAGCAAAAAACACCCAATCAGAAGAGCAGAAAGAAAAAATAATCCAAAAAATGAGGTCAGTATAAGGAGCCTGTGGGACAACTTCAGGTGTACCAACATTTGCATCATGGGCGTGCCAGAAGGAGAGAGTGTGGGCAAGAAATTGATAACCTATTTGAAACAATAGTCACAGAAAACTTTCCTAACTTGGTGAAGGAAACAAACATACAAGTCCAGGAAGCACAGAGAGTCCCATTTAGAATCGATGGCCATATAAAGAGTTTCCCAGACAAGAAAAAGCTAAAGAAGTTCATCACCACCAAACCAGTATGATATGAAATGTTGGTGGGTCTTCTTGAAGAAGAAGAAGAAGAAGAAGAAGAAGAAGAAGAAGAAGAAGAAGAGATATGAACAGTAAAATGGTAATACATACATACTATCAACAATTTTATTTACAAACAAAATGAGCAAGCAAAACAGAAACAGACTCATAAATACAAAGGACTTTTTATTGGTTACCAGATGAGAGGGAGTGTGGGTGAAAAAGATAAAGGGATTAAGAAATACCAATTGGTTGTTAGACTGACGAACCTCAAAGGGAAGTGGAAAGGTGGGACAGGAAGAGAGAAACCAAAGAACTTCTGTGTATATATGCATAACCAATAGACACAGACAATAGTGTGGGGAACACAGGAGGGGGGGTGAAAGTGGGGACGGGGGTTCAAGGGGAAGGTGAAAGAAGGGACATCTGTAATACACTCAACAATAAAGATAAGTTTAAAAAATCAAAATAAAAAGTTTTTACAGTTAAATATATATATTGCTGGGTCTGATTTGCTAAGATTTTGTTGAGGTTTTTGGTGTCTATTGTTCATCAGGGATACTGGCCTGCAATTTCTTTCTTTGTAGTATCTTTATATGGTTTTGGGATTAGAATAATGCTGGCTTCATAAAGAGCTTGAAAGTCTTCTTTTCTCCTGAATTTTTGGAATAGTTTAAAAATAGGCTTTAGTTTTTCTTTGAATGCTTGGTAAAACTCCCCTTTGAAGTAGTCTGGACCAGGGCTTTTGTTTGCTAAGAGTTTATTGATTACTAATTCTATAGCCTCAGTTGTTGGTCTGTTCAGGTTTTCTGACTCTTTCCAATTGAGTTTTGGAAGACTGCAATTCTAGGAATTTGTCAATTTTGCCTAGGTTGTTGAATTTATTAGCATATAATTGTTCGTAGTACTTTCTTTTTTTTTTTCTTTTTGTTCAGGTAGAGTGGGAGGGGGAGAGAGGAACAGAGAGAGAGAAACATTGATGTGAAAGGAACACATCAAGTGGCTGCCACCCGCACAACCAACCAGGGCCGGGGACAAACTGCAACCGAGGTACGCGCCCTTAGCGGGAACCGAACCCGGGTCTCTCAGGACCGCAGGTCGACGCTCTAACCGCTGAGCCAAACCGGCCAGGGCTGTTCGTAGTACTTTCTTACAATCCTTTGTATTTCTCTGGTATCAGTTTTTACTTCACCAATTTTATTTCTGATTTTATTAATTTGGGTCCTCACTCTTTGTTTCTTAGTGAGTCTGGCTAAAGGTTGATCAATCTTGTTTATCTTTCAAAGAACCATCTCTTGGTTTCTTTAGTCTTTTGAATTTTTTTTTTTTTTTTTTAGTTTTTATGTCATGTATTTCCACTCTGATCTTTATTATTTTCTTCCTTCTACTAACTAGGTTTTTCTTTTTGTTCTCCTTCTAAATCTTTAAGTTGTGGGATTAGTTTGTTAGAAACTTTTCTTTTCTTGAGGTAGACCTGTATTGTTATGAACTTCCCTCTTAGGACTGCTTTCGCTGTGTCCCATAGATTTTATGGTGTTGTATGTTCATTTTCATTGATTTCCAGAACTTTTTTTATTTCTTCCTTGATCTCCTTTATAACCCATTCATTATTTAATAATATGCTATTTATCTTCCATGTGTTTGAATCTTTTTTTTGTAATTGATTTCTAGTTTCATGCCACTGTGATCTGAGAAGATGTTTGATATGATTTCAATCTTCTTGAACTTGTAGAGACTTAGTTTGTGTCCTAATATGCAGTCTATCTTTGAGAATGTCTCATGTGCATTTGAGAAGAATGTGTATTCTGCAGCTTGGTGGTGAAATGTTCAGTAAACATAATTAAATCCAGCTGATCTAGTGTATCATTTAGGGTCTCTCTGTTTTCTTGTTAAATTTTTGTCTAGATCTATCCAGTGATGTCAATAGAGTGTTAAAGTCCCCTACTATGATTGTATTGCTGTCGATCTCTTCTTTAAAGTCCCCCAGACATTTTAAAATATATTTCGGTGCTCCTATATTTGTAGGTGCTGCTGGAGTGTATGGGTCCCTGGGTACTGCTGCTGCCTGGTGGAACTTGGCTCCCAATCCACATTGCTGCTGCTGCCGCTGCTGCTGCTCTGCTGCTGCCGCTGCCGCTGCCAGGGGGTGGATCTTGGCTCCCGTGTCTGTGCTGCTTCTGGGGCTGGGGCTCTGCAAGCGATCAGCCACTCCTTCTGCTGCTGGGGGTGGGTCTCAGCTCCTGATTCTTCACTGCTGCTGGGGGCAGGGCTCAGCTCCTAATCTGCACTGCTACTGCTGTTGCCAGGGGAGGGTTTTGCCTCCCAAAAGCCTATGCTGCTGATGGGGGTGGGGCTCCACTTCCAAACAGCTGGTGCTGCTGCTGCTGGGGGCTGTGCTCAGCTCCTGAGCCCCGTCACTGCTACTGGGAGCAGGTGCCTTTACAGGGTGGTTACTGTGTATTGGCCTGCATTCACACAGCAGGGGCCTCTGGTCTGATGGTGTAAGGCATTCTGGTGCCACAGGTCATTGGGCTCTAGCTGCTCCCCACTGCCTCCTCCCAGGGAGGACCCAGAGGATCTTCCAAAGTGGCTGGGCCTTCCAGCCCTGAGCAGGGAGAAGCACCCTGCCAAGCAGTGCACAGCAATGCCAACTGCTCCCCCATCCACAACACCAGAATCATCTGCCCTAAATTTCCGTACTGCTGCGCAGTTGCTCATCCACACTTACATTCACTCACACTCTTTCTCACACACAACTCACACCCTCACACACCCACCCTCGCTCTGGTCTTGCCCACTGCTATGTTTGATCGCCTTTTTCAATAATTGGGTATTTCTTTCATTTGTGTTTATTATTTAACTTCCATCTTCTTTGCCTGACAGTGTTCCTCTCTCCATAAGAACAACACCATGTTGATCTTTTCCATTGCTTTGTACCCAAGGACTAGCCAGATAGGTGCTCCATAAGCATTTTGCAATCAATTCTCTCCCACCATGTTTGTTATTTTAGCCATCTTCTCATCAAGAAGAGTCTGTGGGTCATTTCCCTATTGTTGGAACCCATTTGGGCCATCTCAAGTCCAACAGTGAAAGAGAGAATACAGGCTAACAAAAATCAACAGAATTGCCACTAGTGACCAACCATTGGATCAACTGTTGAAATGTCCCAGAGCTTTGGAGAATTAATTATACCATAACAGCCTTTGACTCCACGTTCCTTTCTTAAATTTTCTCTGTTCCCTTAAATGTACCTAAAATAAGGTTCACAAAACAAACTTTTTTTTTTGGTGTGTGCCCCTAGCGGGAACCAAACCCAGGACTCTGGTCCGCAGGCCAACGCTCCAACTGCTGAGCCAAACTGGCCAGGGCAACAAACTTATTTTAAAGGAGGCTAAATTGTTTATTCATGTGACTACATATCAAATTATATGTGAATTTCCCAAAGTAAACATGTGGAACTGTTATTTCTCTACATTACAGAATTTGACTGTACATTTTGCATTAAATAGTCTCTCCAAAGAGCAAAATAGCATTCTTATAACTTAGAAAACCACAAATGTCTAATACACCTCCATGTCACTTTATAATCATGTATCATAATCCTTCACCCCATTTCTTAAGGAATCTCTAGAAGCCTGCAGAAATGCGGTCCCTGTACCCAGAGTGGTGTACAACATTCTCAGCAAACTGGAGGAGAAATTTAATCTGTCCCTTCTGGAGATGCTGTTCAGTGAAATCAACCTGCGCGAATACCCCAGACTGAAGGCGGTCCTCTGGAGCTTCAGAAACGGTGTGGGGCTTCTCGGTCACCTCTGGGGCTTCCGCAGTGTGGGGGCGGTGGCGCTGCTGAAAGCTCGGGTTGTGTTCCAGCCCCGGGGAAAAGATGCTTGAATTGCCCACTTTCTCTCTGGGAAGGTGTGGGCCCCACTCTCTCGTGGGTGTGGCAGCAAGAGGAGCCTCTAGCCCTGGTCCTCTGGGATGACTCTCTAGAGGACATAAATGTTTTGTCTGACCGGTTCTATGAATTGGGGGCAAACTGAGCAGTTGAGCATACTCGACAGTCTCTAGAGAAGGCACAATATGACAAAAATGCGAAGTTCCAGAGGCCCTTTCTGATGGAAGGACAAGGAAAGCCAGAGAGGAAGAGTAATGGGTAGGAATGGATAATAACTGCTCTTTGTTTTTGGTTTTTTCTTTTTTCTGAGTGCTTGGTATGTGCCAGGCATTATCCCAGGCACTTCCCATGATTATCTCATAGCGTATTTAAAACAATCCTATGGCCCTGCTGGTTTGGCTCAGCGGTGAGCATGTTGGCCCGTGGACCGAAGAGTCCAGGGTTCATTTCCCACTAAGGGCATGTACCTTGGTTGCAGTTTGTCCCCTGCCCCGGTTGGGATCGTGTGGGTGGCAGCCAGTCAGTGTGTCTCTCTCACATCAGTATTTCTCTGTCTCTCTCCCTCCCTCTCTCCCTCCCGCTCTATCTGAAGATAAATGCAAAAATATCCGTGGGTGAGAAATAAATAAACAAACAAACAAACAAACAATCCTATGAAATCACAGTTATCCTCATGTGACACATAAGGAAATTAAAGCTCAACGTAACTTTCCTAAAGTCCTTTGTCTGTTAAGAGTAGAGCCAGAAGTCCTACTTGGATCTCCTGATACCAGGGCCTGGATATTTGTCACTGTTCTGAACAGGATGGTTGGAGGCAGAGTGTGACATTGGCAGAGGGAAGAAAGGCAGCTGATGAGGAAGGGAGGGGACGGGGGACACCGGCAGAGGAGAGGTACGAGAACACTGTGGAGCATGCAGCACACCGAGAGGGGCAAGAAACTGAATAAATGAAGGAGTAGAAGACAGCAGTGATGGAGCTCAGGGAAAAAAAAGTAAGAGGCCCTGGCCGGTTTGGCTCTGCGGTTAGAGCGTCGGCCTGCCGTCCGGAGAGACCCGGGTTCGGTTTCCGCTAAGGGCACGTATCTCAGTTGCAGTTTGTCCCCGGCCCTGGTTGGGTCATGCGGGTGGCAGCCACTCGATGTGTCCCTTTCACGTCGATATTTCTCACTCTCTCTCCCTCTCACTCTATCTGAACAAAAAATGGAAAAATGTCCTTAGGTGAGGATAAAAAAAAATAAACAAAGTAAGAGGAGTGGGTGGTAAACCATTTGAGGTTTGAGGAGAAACACAAGGTTCCCTTATCTGAGACTGTGAAGGGAGAGAAGCACAGAACTCCGCTGTTGACAGCTCTGCGTCTGCCCTCTGACACCTTTCGGTCCAGAGGCTCCTCCCTCGAGGGAGAAGTGGATGCTTACAGGAAAGGAGCAGCGGAGAGGAAAGGCCCCTCCAGGCGGGCATCGCTCACGTGGCCCGTGCTCCTGGCAGCATCCGGGCGGTGCCGGACAGAAGTGCCCACAGAGGCCACGCCGAACAAGTCTGACAGCCAGAGGGACCGCTCGCTCCCGTGTCCCCTGACCTGGCTGAGCTCAGACCTTTCTCTCCACGTGTAACTATGATTTTTTTCTGGGCCTCTCTCCAAAATCTCACCTTTTCTGCTCTGGTTAAGAAAGCTTTACTTCTGAAATAAGTGATGGAGAAGAATCATCAGAGAAACCCACCACTGGCCAAGCAGCCGGGGCAAAGCTGAGGGCCAGAGGTATTGGAGAATGGGAAGGATGCTGGGTGTGGACAGGTCACGGGGTGCAAGGTCAGGAGGTACCGAGTATGCAGACACCAGAAACACTAGGAAAAGAAATTTACATTTTATCTTATTTGCCACAGGGAACTGTGATATGTTCATGTATTAAAACAAGGGCATCTGTTTCCATAAAACATTGTTCATAATTGTCTAAATTCTGAAGCCAAAATTAAGGAAAAGCTAAAAAAAACTATTAAATCCCTGGGGACAAAGTGAAACCCAACTTTATGCGTGAAACAACTTTGGTATTAGATCAGGGCTGGATACAGTTCCTATCACGCTGAATGCCCACATCAAGTTAACACATTAGAAAGAGGCTATAAGTGGATGACGATGACGATGAATTTATTCTACGAACCTGGGGGAGAATGAATAACTCCATGGCCCCAACCTGCTGAAAATCGTGTAAAGCAATCCCTTCCCCACGTGATCCCAAGGCTGCGTGGTGCTGATGTGTGCTCCTTTATCCATCCAGTTGTCTTTTCCCGCGGAGGATGGGACAGAGCCACACTGACCCTCCTTGACGCCCCAGCCAACACGGCAGGAAGAAGCTCCCACCAGACCCTTCTGCCATTGCCAGCGCCCCAGCGTCCTCCACCGAGGCGCCCTGCTCCTGAGCCCGCGGCCGGCCAGCCCAGAGCCATCCCTCTGTGCAGCACGAAGGTCCTGGATAGGCCACCCGGCCCTGCTGGTGCTGCCAAGGCTCTTCCCAGCGTCCTCCAAAAAGGAAGGACCACTCCAGGTGAGAAAGAGGCTGTCCAACACCTGAGCATTGCCAGCCTGGGGTCCCTGTGGCCACGTCTAGAACCCCAGGGTCATCTGTGTGCCCCTTCCATATACCCACCTCCCATACACAGCTCTTTCTAAGAAAGCTGTGGACACCGTGAGGGACCTGGGTGGGGGTGGTTCCCAGAGCACCTGCTTCCTTCCCCCCGGAACAGCCTCCGTCTCTGCACTTGGATCTGGGTGCTCCATCTGCCCCGGGCATTTTTACCCTTCACTCGCTCTCCTCCCCCACACCCTGTCCCTGTAAGCTGCAATGATTTTTCTTCCTCTCTTTAATGGCCAACTTTATATTCTACATAGACGATGAAGAAGACACGCAACAGATGCCCAGCCGTCCCCCTGCCGCTGTGCCAGGCAGTGTGCTTGGGGCTGGCTGACTTTAGCTCAGGGTCGCGGTGCAGGGAGAGCACACACCTGCTGAGCAGGAGGCTGGCGGCAGGAACCCGAGAGAAAGAACTGGGTTAGACAAAGAAAAAGGCAGAAGGGAGCTGGTGCATGTGTTTGGCACAGACTGCTGGCAGGGATGCTGCCACAGCCAGTCTGATGCTGTGATGACCAGCAGCCCTGTCCACCAACATTCCAACACACTGTTCTGACGTGGCCTGTCAGCAACGGGCAACACACACATCCCCCACCGTCACCCGATTGACTGATTACCGGCCGTGTTCAGTGTCAGCCGTATTCGTGTTCACAAGGTTTGAATTCTAAGAGTGATGTTATTGAAATTATTAGAAAAGACGATCCCATGTTTAAAGGCCTGCTGGGCCTGATCTAGTTTCTAAGACTGCAACCCATCGTTATAAAGGAGTTTGCGTGTATTACACATACCACGGTGTATTACCAGGTGCTGCCAGAAACAGTGTCATGAGTTCTGAGAATTAGGGTCCTCTTGGGTCCAAATAATGTTTTGTTCACGCCTCTAATACACACCATCCAAATAAGGTTAACATAATCACAAGGCGCGTAACACTGTAAGATTCCATCTCCTAGCGTTTGCGAAGAAAAAGTAGGTGCCGTCATTAAGCTGGTAGGTAGCCAACTGAAGGGAAATGATGGCTCGCTCTCCCACTGTCTCACCCTCACCAGACCTTGGTGTTCGGTCCGGCCCATCCTGCTCCCCTGCTAGAATAGGTTGTTCTCCTTCCTCCTTCCCTGGTCCCTGCTTGCTGGGCCTGGTACCTGAAGCTCCTTTTCTTCCACGCAGGGTCCAGCGGCAACCTGACCCCTCAAGCAGAAGAGAGAGAGGACGTTCAAGAAATGCCCTGTCCTCTCTCAGCTCTTGTGCCAGGTAACATTTTTTAAAATATGTTTTATTGATTTGAGAGAGAGAGGAAGGGAGTGGGAGAGAGATAGAAACATCAGTGAGAGAGAATCATCAGTTGTCTGGCTCTTGCACGCCTCCTACTGAGGATCAAGCCCACAACCTGGGCATGTGCTCTGACTGGGAATTGAACCATTGACCTCTTGCTGCATGGGCCTATGCTCAACCAACTGAGCCACACCAGCCGGTCCAGGTAACTTTGATTTAAATGACTTAAGTCCACCTTAGTTTTTGTGTCTACAAAGAGGAGAACCCATTTAAGTGTTCCAGGGAGAGGGCTCTCCTCACCGCTCCTGATCACCATCATGGTGCAGCTCCTGGCTCACCAGCCCTCAGGGGCTTGGACAGGCAGGAGACCCAAGCTCCTGGAGAGAGACAGTCCCTGGGGAGGGCAAGGTAGACTGGGAGGGGGTACCAATAACAAGGGATAGGAGCCCCACTAATACCCACCGGACCTGGACTCAGGCACCACTAAGGGGTCTGCAAAGGGACAACATTCATCTTCCAGAAGGGGTTGTGGCAGTAACTTGGGAAAAGCACAAAGGACTGAGCCAGGGCAGGACTGTTTGACTCAGCCAATCTTTGAGGCCCCTTCAATAAGGTAAAGCTCAAGCCCAGCCGGTGTGGCTCAGTGGTTGAGCATCAGCCCATGCTCCAAGAGGTCGCCGGTTTGATTCCCAGTGAGGGCACACGCCCAGGTTGTGGGCCCGATCCCCAGTGGGGGGCACGCAGGAGGTAGCCAATCAATGTTCTCTCTCATCAATGTTTCTACCTCTCTTTCTCCTTCCCTCTCTCTAAAATCAATAAAGAAAAAATATTTAAAATGAATAAATAAATAAATAAGGTAAAGCTCAAACTGCTCCATCAAACTACAAAAAAAACAAAATACTGTGTGGCCCTAACACTGAACTGGTGCCCCAGACATGGCTGGTTCTCCTTCTCGGGCCCCACCTTGATTGTGGGGATCTTTTACTGTCAACCCTCAAAATTTCCATATGTTTGGATTTTTAAAAATTGATATTATTGAAAACTTTTGAAATGCAACAAGTTGTTTAGAGGGTGTAGCGCCGGCATGCTACCTGCTCCTAAACAGGCCAGAATGGGAGGCGAAGCCAGGGCAAACGGGGGGCCGCCTTTCCTGAGCCGGGCTTTCGCTTTCACGGCTGTGAGCCCTTCCGTCCTTAGTGCCGCAGAGATGAAGGACTGTGTCTAGTTGCAGTTAACAAGGACTAGCAAGTACCAGATGGCTTCTGCCGTCCTCAACTGAAGCATACGGAGCACTTAGCCCCTCACTGTTTCTCAAGGTGGAATGATCACGGGTAGAGCAGGTTAAAAACCCATTCACAGACGTCTCCTCAATAACGTGTATTATTTACACGGCAGATACTCCCCTGCACTGTGGCTGTCAGAATACAAGGTGACATTTACTCTGCTCTCAGCCTCATTCCCCGCGTGGGGGCACCGAGAGCCCTGTGCTCATCTTCCGGCCAGTAAGGGGGATCCATGCCAATGGGCCACACGGAGCCCTCCTCCGCGGGCACTTGCTCTCTGGCTCTGTGATGGTCGCTCGAATAGAGGCAGAGCCAGGGAACCCTGTGAACTGGCGTGTCCCCAGCCCTGGGCCACACACGTCCTCCACCCTCTTACTCTCCCATTGAGCTCCCTCGGCGCTTCCTCTTGAGCCCATCTGACTTCTGAAATACCTTGTTTCCTTTGTCAGAGACAAGGACTGACTCTCCTGAACCAAGGGAGCCAGGGGAGCCCCAGGAGGCAGCCAGCACACCTCCGGTCAGGAAAGGTAAGGGTTGGCTTCTCCTGCAGGCATCAGGAGGGGGCTGGGGAGCTGTGTCCTGTTTCCTGATCATAGCTTGTCACGAGCACTCTGACTGCCGGCTCGCGCTCGGTGCAATCTGTTTCTGCGATTCCCTTTCACTGCCTCTTCCTTTGAGGCCTCGTGAAACGATAGGACAGCAGAAAGCATCTAGGCCATTGAAGTCTGCACCCTTGAAGCTGCCTGTCTGAGGTGACCAAGCTCTTCTACAGCCACAGCTTCATGGAGGGTTAGTCGCACCTCCTTCGACCGAAAGGTGGCTTCCCAAGAGCACCCTGCTTTCTCCGAAGACGTGGCTCTTCAGAGAAGTAGCATGTTCTCTGCTATTGCTCACCTCAGTGTGGAAGGCAGGCTGGGTGTTCACACCTCTCTCCCCACTGTCCCCAGCCAGCCCCTTGCTCGCCCACCCCCTCGTCTGGGGCTTTACCATTCTTGCGAAATATTCACGACTTCATCAGCATTGCCCCTTGACTTCCCCGGCACTCCCCAGCAGAACTCAAGGCTGACTTAGTTACTCTGTTTCAAATCTTGCCATTATCCTGGACACCTTCAAGGTACATGTGATAAGAGGTCCATCCAAAACTGATCTCACCAGTCCTTCATCTGCTAATTTCCAGTGACTTTCCCTCCACCAGCTGTTGGCCTCCCACACCCAAAGAATCCACAGGCCCTTCGCCTCTCGAACCTGGCTCAACCTCCCAATAATTAAAGAATTCTCTTTTTTACACTAAACCCTTAAAGTGTGCTCTTTCTACAGCAATCATTCAACCTCTGATTTCCCCTCCTCAGCACAATCTTTAAAAATTAATTCAAAAATACCCTTACTTTGTTTCTTCCTACAGTGTGTTCCCTCTATAGCTGTCCTTCAGCCTCACTGAGATGTCCACTGGCCTTTCCCTTTCCGATCTATCATCTGCCTTTTTTCTTTTTAATTTATTTATTTTTGTTACAGATGTTTCTCGTTTTCCCCCCACTGATTTCCCCCTTCCCTTCCCTCCCCGCCCTGTCCCCAGTTTAGTTGTCCATGTCCATTGTCCATGCATACATGCATATAAGTTCTGTGGTTTATCTTCCCCTCTACCCCCTCTTCTGGGGATAGTGAGTAGTCAGTCTGTACCCCACTTCCACGTCTCTGGGACTACCCCATTCCTCAGACTGTTGGGTTCATTATATTCCACAAATAAGTGAGATCATATGATACTTGTCTTTCTCTGTTTGGCTTATTTTGCTTAGGATGACACTTTCCAGGTCCCTCCATGTAGTCTCAAAGGATAAGAGAGCTTTCTTTCTTACAGCTGCATAGTACTCCATTGTGTACATGTACCACAGTTTTTTTAATCCATTTGTCTGCTGATGGACATTTGGGCTGTTTCCAGATCTTAGCTATTGTAAATAGCACTGCTATGAACATGGGGCTACATATATTCTTTCTGATTGGTGTTTCAGGCTTCTTAGGGTATATTCCTAGAAGTGGGATCACTGGGTCAAATGGAAGTTCAATTTTTAATTTTTTGAGGTAACACCATATTGTTTTCCATAGTGGCTGCACCACTCTGCATTCCCACCAGCAGTGTACTAGAGTCCCCTTTTCTCCATACCCTCCCCAACACTTGTTTGTATCATCTGCCTTTCTTCACCCCCTTCATACCAGCTTAGAGTCCAAGAGCCATCATTTTAGTAACCAATACTTAACCTGCCTTGACTCTCTGTCTTTTTCTAGAACTCTCTGGAAATCCATGGAGGAGACTATTCCTGTTTTCTGCACACTGCATCTGAAAGCAGTCACTGCTGGGCAGACTGCACGGATGGTGTCTTCACAATTTTAGATAACCGATCCTTCCTCCCTGCGTGACCGTTCCACTTCCTGTGATGATCCTTTCAGACCCTGAGCTCCTTATGTCAAAAGTCTGACCCTTTCTGTGCTTCCCTTTTTTGTCAAGAGATGGATTTTCCTCCTACTTCGCAGAAAGACGCCCGATGGGACTCTCCGCACTTCAGGCTACCAATGTGCCTCCTCCTTGGTTCCCTCCTCCCCAAAGCAGTCCTTCCTCCTCACCTGACAGGAGACTCAGCATCAGCCTCTCAGAAGGGTCTGCCTCCAGCCAGTGCCCACACCTGTCCCAGCTCATAAAAGAACTTTCTCTTGACCCTCATCCCACTCCACGTGCCTCCATTGCCCTCCCCTCCAGGTCACAAAGCTTCTAGAAATGCGTTACCTGGGCTCATTGTCCCCTTTTCTTCCTGTCTCTCCCTCCTTTGCCACTTTGGAATTTCTTCTCCCCCATTCATTCCCGAACCAGCATTACCTGAGATCACCAGTCACCTCCTAGCCGCTGGGGTTTGAAGACCAAATGTAAAAGCTAAAAAACGTTGACCTAGAAGCTTGGCAGATTTATGCGTGTAGCTATAAAAGATGATCTGTGTTCTTTCTGTTTAGGAAAGAAAAGAAAAAGAAGTATCTGGGACACTCCAAGAAAGAGACACCAGAAAAAAAGCCTTCCAAGGGGTAAGATGGCAGAAGAGGGGGCCAGAGGATGGTGGTGGCTCACGCGTGTAGGTCAAGGTGTGGGCGGGTGACCTTTATTCTAAATGCAAGGAGGAGCCGTTGAAGAGATCGAGTCAGTGAATGACACTATCCAGTTTTAAACTTAACAAGACAATTTGGGTGCTGTGCAAACTGAGGATAAAAACACAGTGATCTCGAGGCTTGCTCTTCAATTTCTGGCTTGAGTGGCTGGGTGAATGGCAGTGCCCATTGTCGAGAGAAGGTGCAATATATTTGAAGGGACATTTTATAATTCAGTCTTTGACCTGTCCATTTTAAGATGTGTGCCCGCCATCTACACAGTCATACCTGACACATGCTTTGCCAAGAACTGTGAAAGGGGGAGATGTTACCCCACTTGCATAGTCATGTTCTTTATATATATGACTACTGCAGAAATGCAAGTCACCTGCGTCGGGGAAATAAATTCTTGATTGATATGCTCAACTAGCTCAACAGCCAGAGTAACAAAGCAGCGTCTGTCCCCCACATGCAGACCCACACGCAGCAAAAAGAGAGCTATGGAATTTTACTATGTGAGTGGCCGATTACAGTCTATAGACGAGGAACAGAGAAGGGTGGATTTGCTGTTTATATACAGGACAAGGACAGCATCCTGGGTCCTCACCCTACTCTTTTGAAATTTAAATGTGTCCTTCAGAGAGAGCTGTAGAAACCACAGGTGTTCTTATCTTTTACTTAGAGATGGCTCCAAGTCCTGTGCCTCATCCCTTCTGACCTGTAATTACCTAAGAAGAGGGTGCACCAGGATGCTTGGTACTTTGGGACTTACCCTAGGAACTTACCTCTAGCTGTAACCATTTGGCCATGTCGGGACATGAGAAGTTTTATTTTTCTTTTGAATCAGAACAGTTAAGTAGACAAATTAGCTGTAGATCTAATCTCATGGTATGTGAAAAGTAAAGTTTCCAGGGGAAACGAAAGCAAACATTTCTTGTGTGTATTTCTGTATTTCAAGAGAGTAGGGCTGCTTGCAGAAGTACTGAGCATTCAGGGAAGTTTAACTCCCCCGCAATATACCAATCTGGCACTCAATAAAAAATCTAGTCCAAAGGTAGAAACGTAAGAGTCATCGGCAAAATAAAGGTACCCAGGTCCATGGGAGAGAGGAAGAGAACCCAGGACTTAGCTCTGCCCTGAGAAATCCCAATAGAATAGAAAACCAGCAAAACAGACGGAGGGAAGAGACCCTTGAGGAGGGTGGAGCACCAGGAGAGATCACATCAGTAAGTCAAGAGGAAATGGTTGACTACAGAGAGGGATTCAGATACATTCAAAGAAGACCTTGGGTTTGGCCGCAGGTGTCACTGAAAAACAGTGTTCATGGTAATGGAGGCAGACGCTGGCTGCAGTGGTTGGATAGCGAACAGGGAAGAGAACATATGCAGACAGCTGTGGCTGTAAGGGGCTGGGGTGGGGCCTGGAGCAACAGGTAGCCAAGGGCCTGGAGTGCCTTTTCCCTGACTTAGGTTCCTCTTAGCATGTCTCCAGTGTCCCAAATCACAGGGCTGGGGCCCTTTTAAGACATTTCATAGAAGTAATTTCGTTCTGTGCCTTTTCCCCAAAGGTAAGTGGTCTTCCTGGGCCTGGAGAAAAGACAAACTGCTCTCTCCATCTCAGCCTGTTGTGTGTATTCCCTGTGGGCCTTCTCGATGTGATGTAAACTACTCAGGGTACTAACCCCCACTCCCTGAGCCCCGTCAATCACTCTCGCTTCAGTCCCCACCTCGATGCTGATGACTCCCAAATCCACGTTTTCAACACAACATAAAGCCGACTGCTCACTGGCCGTCCTGTCTGCAGGTCTCCCGCAGACACTCCAGTCTAAACGCTTCTGAAACGGAATTCTTCTTCTTCACCTAAACCCTAGTCTTCTAGGTATCATCAGACCTTTATCCAGCAAATAGGCCGTGAGCACGAATTCTGTGAATATCTGTTCTGAGAGCTGATGGTCTAGTTTCTTTAAAAGCAGGAAATTAAGCCAAGAGAAAGAAGGAAGAACGTTCCTGGGGCTTCCATCCTGGTTGGGGGAGAGAAAGAACATGAGCCAGAAAGCAGTAAACGAGATCATTTCCGACAGTGATGACAGCAAGGAAGCAAAGGAAGGACAGGGTCACACGTGATTTGCAGCTTGGGGTGGAGGTCACACACGCTGGACAGTCCAAGCAGAGAGACTCGCAGTGTGAAGGAGCTGAGGCTGAGAGGAAAGGTCGGTGTTGCTGGGTGATGAGGAAGAAGGGAGAAGGTGGCACAAGGTGAGAAGGTAGAGCAGAGCCAGAGCATGTGGCCCCCACAGGCCTTGGGAGGAATTTGGGGTTTGTTTAACTTGAAATGAGTTCCCCAGTTGCCAAGCCAAAACGTAAGTCATCCTTGACTACCTGATGATCTACCTCAGCATACTGACCAGTTCTGTGGATTCTATCTCCTCTTTCCTACACTGAACTCTGACGGTCGCATTCCCGTGCGTATGACTCATCCACGACCTCCCACTGCTCTCATCATCATGCTCACAGTTCTCCATGTGATGGTCAGTGCGCTCTCCAGTCCAGCTCTTCCCCTCCCCTCCACCTCCGTCTCGTCCCACTCAGACCAGCCAACCATGCTAACTCTCATTGCTCCCATTTCGTTTCCTTCCCCTTGGACCCTTGGCACATGCAGCTCACTTTGATGCTAAATTTCGACCCTACACTGCTTCCCATAAATGGCTGTCTGTGTCCTGTTCGCCACTGGTGTTGGCTTCAATGTCCACTCCAAGAAGGTGTCCTCTGACCCTAAATTAGTTCCATTGGCCCCATTGCATGTTCCTCTAGAGCCCAGCACTGGCCCTTTGGGAAGATCCCACATCTCTATTGTAATTACTTATGTAATGTATCTCATCTAAGCTAGATGAAAATCTCCAGGCACAAATAAGGCATTAATTATGGCTTAAATTTTTAAAAAATGAAAGAAACCATATTTCCTGTATCCCATAATTCGGAGAACAATCTGGCGAAGGATCATTTGTGAGTTTATTATTGCTCTACGCGGAGTCACAGATCCCATCAGCGGCATATGATTCTGATGTAAAGGAAGAGTTATTGGAGGGAAATCTCACAGCAGAGAAGCAGAACCTGCACGAGCCTTCTTGCTATTCCTTGTTCAGAGCAGGCATGGATGGTCGGCACGCCCCGGGTCCAGCATCCCGGCACGGAGGCATCCACTCCCTTAGTGCTCTAAAGGCACACAGGACTGGGGCAGGAACGCTTTGTGACTATGCAGCAGCTAAGGGTCCCCAGTCAGAGTGACCTTGTTAGAAACGGGAGCCTCTGGGGCTGGGGTCAGCCTGTTCTGTTTGGGTAACTCTGACCTGCTGAGACTTCCCTCTGCTCAGCTACCAAAAAAAGCAGGAGATGCCAGGCCCTCCCACATTTGTCTTTTCTCCTACTGCATTTAGATGAAAAAAATATTTTTTAAATTTTTTCTTTATTGTTTTTTTACAAAGAGGAAGGGAGAGGGAGAGAGATCTAGAAACATCGATGAGAGAGAACATTGATTGGCTGCCTCCTGCATGCCCCTACTGGGGATTTGGCCCACAACCTGGGCATGTGCCCTGACCCAGAATCAGACTGGCGACCTCTTGGTGCCTGGGTCGATGCTCACCCACTGAGCCACACCAGCCAGGCTAGATGAAAAATTTACAGGGATGTTTCTAAGAGTCACGTAATTTTACATTTAATTAGTCACCTTTATTGAAAATACTAAAAACACCTGAAAAGACATCCAAAATTTAGAGAAGTAAAGAACACAGACAGTCATACTGAAAATATACATCCCACATTCTTGTATGCAAAAAAAAAAAAAAGTAGTATTCTCTATTTGCGGTAACAGTTCTCATTTCTCTGAAACCCTCCCTTTGTGATAGAGGAAAAACACGCAGCTTGCCAGTTAAAGGCGACTTTCAGGCTCTTTCAGGTTGCCCGTATCTTGGGTAAATGCTCAGTAACTGCCATGCCTGAGCTCTCTGCAGGTCTGCCTGGGTACCTCCTCTCCAATTTTTAGCCTCTCCTGCTTTCTCCGTAAGGGTCACTTGGATCTTAAAAAAAAAGTTAATGCGTCCATCTGCCAGCAGAGGGCGAGGTTGTGCCACGAGTGCATTCCCTGGGGTTTCCATGGAGCTACCCTTGCTCCACTGGGCATGGTCATCCAACAGGAATGAGCTTCTCAAGTCCACAGCCAGTGAACATTGTGAGCTCTTCTCAACAATGAAGCCGACTGTCCCCGCACACAGATACCCCTTCCCCCACCCCATCTCTCCCTGGGGAACCTGGGGAGGTGGCCTTAGAGGCCCCTCCACTGCTGAAACAAATCACCAGGCCATGTTTTACTCATATGTGGCCACTTCTTGGGGGCAGCTGTAATTCATTCAGGCAGAGGAACCAGAAAATAAGTCCCACTGCTCTGGGAGTCCCCCAAATGTCTCTGGTTGATTTCAATAGTTTGTACAAAGAGTAAGGCCAGATTGTGAATTGGGGGCGGGGAGCTAAGGTGCACACAAGGAAAAAAAATACATAATTACAGAGAAGCAGCAGGAGAAAAGTGAGGCACAGGGGTGCAGAGATCTCAAAGTTTGGGGGCTGGAGGCATGAAAAGGAAGGTCACTAAGGGGGGGATGAGGAGGACCACTGGGGACCCTAATAGAAACTACTCATAAATCACTATTTGGTCCAGGACCCACCTTACCTGGGCACAGAATTCAAAAGAAGCTCCAAGTGGCGGATCAGGCAACTCAAAAGAAGGACAAAACCAGGAACACAACGGTGGTGACAGGGGCCCAAACGTCTGGACCCGAGGGTAAGGCTGGGGACAGAATCTGCCATGTGAGGCTCAGGGTGGGAGGGCCTCTCGTGCAGCAGGCTCGGGGTTGGTGGACATGAGAAGTGAGCGTGAGAAGGGGGAGCAGTGCAGGGAAGGGTGATGAGGTGCGCCCGGAGCAACGGAGAGGACACAAATACCTGTTACATCTGAGGAGTTTCTGTCACAGAAACAGCTGCGATCACAGGGTACAGCTGACCCCTGCTGGGACCTACGCAGCAGCTCTTGAACAGTTTGGTCTCAAGTCTCCATTACACTCTCAAAAATTATGTAGATTCTTTGTATCTCTTTATATGTACCTGATCAGAAATTAAAACTGATCATTTAAAAATACCTATATGTTCATTCCCTTAAAAGTAACAATAATAAACCAATTACTTGTTCACATACGCAAAGTAATTTTATGGAAAATAGATATATTTTCCAAAGGAAATTAGTGAGAATAATGGCAGGATTTTACTTATTTGCAAATCTCTTTTAAGTCTGGCTTATTCATAAACAGCTGGATTCTTTTATTGCATTTGATACGTTGCTTTGGTTGAAATGTAGGAAGAAAATGCAGCCTCACACAGACGTGTAGTTGCACAAGTGGGAGACATCTGTGGAGAGCCATCTTTGGCACTAACACTCAACAAGGGGTCGTTTCTTCAAGGTTCACTGAAATGTCGAATCTGAAACCCTATCAATGAACTTTTCATACTCTGTTGCAATAAAATACACAATGCGATCTTGCATTTTGAATGAATCTTTTCATGCAAGATTTATTAATATTATGCTCATTTGAAACATATTAATCACTGAATTTTACAGTGAGTTGCATCTCAAACAATCACACAAGTATTTTTCTTGGGATAACCATGGAAATTCAAGGCACAGCAAACAGCTTTAGACGTACTCTCCAGTGTTTTGCCAAGACTTCTAAAAGGCTGTGTACTCAAGGCCAGACATTTAATAAAGTTAATAATTTTTACTAGTTCATCAAGAAAACTCTTAAATAAAATTGGCTTTTGTTTTGTTTTATTTTATTTTATTTTATTTTATTTTATTTTATTTTATTTTATTTTATTTTATGGTGAGTGGCGGTGAAGAGTCCATAACCGCTCTCAAGGTCAGGGGACACTGCTTTGATCTGTGCTAAGGGACCAGCGGCTTTGTACCTCCATGTTTACAAAGGTCTACATAGTGATAAAGGCAAAGAACACCTTATTATGAAAACGGTTTTGACCTCAGAGTCTCCTGAAAAGTTTTCCAAGACCCCCCCGAGGGTCCCAAGCTCACTTTGCGCCTCTGGTCCAGGGGTTCAGATGCTGCTCTCCCACTGGACGTCTCCATTAGCGGAGGACTCACTACTGCCCCCAGTGGGAGAGGCCAGCGTGGGTGAGCCGGGGCACCATGGAGGCTCCAGCAAGACATGCAACCTCCAGCCTTCAGCTCCAGGCGTGCAAGGCCCTCCTGGGTCTCTGTGAGATTCACGAAACTTTCTAGGGTGCCTTTACTGAGAGCTGAAGGGAATGTCATTTCTTCCCTTTTCAGAGGTCAGTGATGACTCTTCAGAAGTGAGTGAAGCGAAGAGTCCCCGGGAGCCACCCAGCACACCACCAAGAATGACTCAAGGTACAGATGAGGGATTGCGAGTCTCAGAGGGACGTCCGAGGAGCCCAGGTTCAGTACTGTTTTGCTCTAAGCTGGATTTTCTCAGCCCTTTTTCCATTATCACTGCCCTAGGGAGCTCACTGGCTTTTTTTTATTTTTTATTTTATTTTTTTACTAATCATGAACAACCCCCATGATATTTTAATATCATAAAAATAGTATATGTTGATTTATGGACTATATATTTATTTGTATATATTTATTTGTGCCTTATGCATAAAAAGAGTAAGATTTCCCCCCAGGACTCAACATCACCACTGCTGAGAATTCATGCCCTAAGCATATTCTTGGTACCTTATTAGAAGTACCCAAGCCATAGATCAAGTTTTTTTCCTGGGGCCCCAATATCCATGTTTTTTACATGACTTTTCCGATAAAATTGGGAAGAGAACATCTCATCATAAACACAAACGTAATAGTGTAACTGGACAAACATTCTTCTATTTGTTGGTGATTTGGATCATTACGGCACCAGTCAGTACATCTCCCACATTGACTCTCAAACAACAGTTTTCTAATCACTGTTAGGAAGAATGTGTTAAATTGGATCACCTTTGAAATAAATGCTCATTTTAACAGTTTCTCCTCCATTGCACTGACTTCTATGGTAACATTTCTAATTTTCTTATGGATAAAATCTATTTATTTTCGCAGCCAGCCTTGGAGAGGTTGGAGTAGTTTGTTCTGTCTTGGCGGTGAGAACACTGTAAACGATGAATGGGTTTCGGATGAGTCTGTGGGTAAAGGTGAGCGGGTACAGGACTAGCACCTGGAGCCGCGATTCTCCATCCGAAAGGAAGGGACAGAAACAACCCTGTCAAAGCTTTGCCCACTCAGCACTGTCTGAAACACAAAGCTGATTTATTGAACAATCACTTTGTTGTTACTTTCTAGATGCCCTGGATCATGGAAGGAGACTGTCTCTGGGGAAATCTCCCCGAGAAAAGCGTAAGTGTGCAGAGCCCGGTGCTCTCTGTCAGGGTGGATTTCACGTCACTCTTACTGGTTGTTAGAACCTCAGGCTACAAAAGCAATCAAGCCAGAAAGATGTGTGCTTATTTATTTATTTTTTTTTTTTCAGCATAAAAAATGTTCTCTACTTCCCAGCAGCTACAAGGATTTGCTTGCTGTGACAACAAACCACCCCACCCCCAACCCCCCAGCCCCCACCCCCCAAAAAATAACGCTAAACTAAGAGAGCTTCTTCTGCTCTCTTGTGTGGAGGTAGGTGGCCAGCGAGCTTCATACACCATCAGAGCCCAGGCTCGCCCTCGCCTGTGGTCTCGCCGGACTCAGTGTGTGGCATCCCCTTCTTGGGGGTCCAGCCAATAGGTCTGCATTCCAGCCAAAGTGAAAGGGCGGGAGAACCTAGTCCTTCTGTTACCTGTTCATTACCTGTTCATTGCCAGGACTAGGTACCTGGCTACCCCTGGCTGCAAAGAAGGCTGGGAAATGTCCTTTTATTCGGAAGGACAGTATTCAGCTCAGCAACATCAGGGGCTTGAGAGTGAGAGGAAAAGGAGACCAGAGAGAGGAGCAAGCAGCACAGCTGCCGGCGCGCTGTGTGCAGGTGTTCCTTGCCTGGCCACTATTCCCGATTGTCTTCCCTGGCCCAGACAGCTGCCTTTCCCAGCCCCTGAGACAGAACACCCCCACACAGAGGGCAGCTGCCCCGGTGCCCAGGTCCTGCAGAGGACTCCGTGTGACCCAGAAATACACGGTCCAGCTAAGCCACTGAGATGTGGTTTTGTATGCACTATAGCATAGCCTGTCCTGCCCCATCTGATAAAATGTTCCTACTGAATTCTGCAAGCAGTACAGAAAGTTGTCAATCAGGAAGTGAAGTCGATTTAATCTGCTTCCCCCACCATATTTATATACCTTACAAACGTGCATACATTTATCATATATATTACATATATACTCATACTATATAGTTTATTCTATAAACACTTGTTTCATTGGGAATTTAATACACATACCTTCATGTCAGTGTTATCTGTTTTCCTTTCTGTTAGCTGCATAGCTCATTATTGTATGATTAACAATTTAAGTAATCATCTACTGATGAACAGTTAGGCTATTTCCAATTTCGTTGAAATTTCTAAATGTGAGATTACTTGGTTTGAGTCTTCTTATCTTAAATTTCGTATATGTCATCAAATTGTTCTGCAGAAAATGAAATTGCTTACATTCACTTTAACAATACATGAGTGTGTCTGGCCAGTGTGGCTCAGTGGTTGAGCATCGACCCATGCACCAAGAGGTCGCCGGTTCAATTCCTGGTCAGGGCACATGCCCAGGTTGTGGACCAAATCCCCAGTGGGGACCATGCAGGAGGCAGCCAGTTGCTGTTCTCTCTCATCAATGTGTCTATCTCTCTCTCCCTCTCACTTCCTCTCTCTAAAAAAAAAAAAAAAATACATGAGTGCTCATTAACTAGATCCCTACGTACCTGGATAAAATCTTTTAAAGGGTGGGGTATCCTTAAAACCAAGCAGTGTATTTTTTATTATTAGTGGTCTAAAGATAATTTTAAAATCAATTTATTATTTACATTTCTACTTTAAGAATTTCCAATTTATGGTCTTGGCCCATTTTGTGTGTGTGCTATTCATCTTTATTTTATTTATTAAGGCTATTAACCCTCTATATTTTACCAGATTGCTTTTTTTTTTCCTATTTTTTGTTTTAATACTATGGGGATGTTTTTTGAAGTGTGGACATTTTTAATTTTTCAAATGGTCAAATCTATCTATCTTTTACCTTTATGATTTCGGGCCTTGAATTTTGGCTAAGAAATCTTTTATATCTATAGCTTATCATAAACTCTCTATGTATTTTCTTCTTGAAAAACCTGGTTATAAATTATTTTAGAAAATGGTCTAACTTATATATTAAGAATCTATATCTTTGTTCCTTCTTTATTGAACCTTTTTCATTTTCAAGTAAAATAGAGTATTGTCTTCACATAGATCTCATAGTTTTCTGCTTCCCCAAGGTGATGGGACGACAGAAACAAATTGATTTATAAAATATTGCCATCTCAAGCTTGTAGATCAATATTTATAGCCATCGGAGATTTTTTTTTTCTATTTTAGAAAAAATGAGAAAAAAATGTAGCTGGTCAAGTTCAAAAACCAGACAGAAAACAAGGCTCTCGAAAGGTAAGTAAGAAGAGTGACGTCATCACTCACTGCTGTTCACGAGCGTCCTCGCTTGGATGGCAAGCGTGGCCCCCTCTCCAGCCACATGGCCACCTGGGTCTCACTGGGCCAGTCCCCTCCCCGTCTCCGAGGCCACCCCGTCAAGGGATTCCTCACAAAGTGAGAACCCAGACACCCTGTTGGTCCCAAAGCCTTCTTTTCTTACCATTGGGAAGGAATGGGATAGAGGTGGCCAAGAGGCGTCAGACACTTTGAGATGAGGACTGAGTTTAGGGTAAGCTCGGCGCCAGGGAGAATAGACAAGCAAATCCGAACGTGGGGGCAGGATCCGGACTGCCGCTATCAGGCAGGAGTTGGACTTGCAGCCACGAGCATTCCAACCACCCGGAGACTCTTCCCTCCTTATTGAGCGCCTAGCACGAAACTCGTGTTACTTTCGTAGAGGAGATAAAAAGTCATGAACCTGTTTTTCTGGCTCCTCTGTTCTCTCTCTTGTCTCCATCCCCCTATTCCCCTTCTCCCTGCATTCTCACCCCCTCTCGCTCCCTTGTCTCCTTCCCCTTTCCCTTTTCTGTAGCTCAAGGCGTGCCAGTGGGCGAGGAGTGTCTTGGATTCCCTACCTTATGGGGGCCTGGGAGCCCTGTGAGTGTATCTCATCTCAGCTCCCAAACATGCAGCATCCCGTGAGCTCCCCTGCTTTGGACACACCCCATTTTTCTGCTTGTTTCCAACACCCCTCAATCTTGGGGGTGAGGACATTCAGACCTCCTTGCATGCCCTCCTCCAACCCTTGTCTCTTCTCCAGCTCCCCACCCCAGTGCCTCCCCAGGCTGGAGGAAACGGACTCTGTCAAATGCCGGGGTATCTGTTACCAGTGACTTCTCTGAAAACTTGACACTCAGACCTCAGCTTTCTTCTTGGTACATAAAGATGGAACTTAGACATCCCCTTTGTTCTCATCAAAGTCTGTGTTTCAAAATGTGTAATGTCTCTAAAATGGTCTCAGCTGACTTCTCGGTTCTAGCCAGCATCTGCCCTCTCCCTGAAACTTATTGATTTAATAATTAGGGAACCCTGGGACATTGAGATTTATAGGGATGAAAAATACACAATTCTAGTATTTTCAAAAATATGCTGCCCTTGTATATTCAACAAAGATGAATTGAGTGGAGGCGGGTGCCAGGCATGTGTCCTAGGTCCTGGGAACTCATCAGGGAGCAAAGCGGATGTGGGTGTTGCATTCTTACTGATACGTATGCAATTAACAGGAAGAGGAGCGTAAGGGGCAGAGGACTGGAGGGCGTACTGTGAGAAAGGAGAGTATTTATAGAGAAATGGTGAGATAAAAGTGAGGCACAGGGATGCAGGATTTCCTGGCAGCGGAGACAGTATGAAAAGGAAGGTCACTAAGAGGGGAAAGAGGAAAACCACTGGGGACCCCAATGAAAACTACTCATAAATCACTGTTTGGCCCAGGAACTGCCTCATCTGGGCACAGAGCGCAAGAGAAGACCCAAGTGGTGGATCAGGCAACTCAAAAGAAGGACAACTCAACCAGGAACACAGTGGTGGTGACAAGGGCCCAAAAGGCAAGGATTGAATGTGCCCAAAAGTCTAGACCTAGAGGTAAGGCTGGTGACAGAATCTGCCATGTGAAGGCTCAGTGTGGGAGGGTCTCTCGTGCAGCAGGCTCAGAGTTGGGGGGACATGAGAAGTTAGTGTGAGAAGGAGAGAGAAGTCTAGACAAAAGGGACATGGAGACAGAGCACGGATCTGTTGGTCTGAGAGTGGCTGTTGGAAGAAGTGTGTCCGCAGGATGCAGCTGACCTCAGCTGTGGAGTCCCCACTGCTCCGCCGAGTCTGGGGCTCCTCTCACTCAAGCTGGCCCAGTGAGGAGCGTGTCACCAACCCCCAAAGAGAACACGTTCTCAGTAGTATTTCCTAATGATTAATTTCTAGAACGGAAGTCAATTGGATGATGAGTCTGCATATTTAAAATTAGCATATAGTGTTGACCAAACTCTAGCCACTTCAGGCTCCCATTAACATCAGATGGACGCCCTTTTGCCTATACCGTCATCAACACTGGAAATAAGGAGACTTTTCTGAGTTTGACAAATCAAAAGCATGGAATGATATTCCACCAATGTTTCCCTTTGAATCCTTTGCACCGTGCATGTGGTGAAATACACTGTGACAGGTTATATTACTGCTCACCAGTATCTCAGAACGTTATATACCCCTGCCCTGTGGACTCAGAAATGGCCATGTGACTTGACATGGACAAAGAAATGTGAGCAGAAATGAGAGGGTCACTTCCAAACCAAAGCTTTAAGAGCCCTTGTATTGTCATTTTCTCTGCCATGGGACCAAGGATGTCCTAGACAGAGGCATCTCTATCCCAGGCTCCCTTAGTGTCAATGACGTGGGACCTCATCTAACATGTGATCAATAAACAACAGGGGAAAGGAGTAAACCTGTGTTTTTCTACACCAGTTTTGGCAAAATTTTTCTAAAACGGGACAGATAGTAAACAGCTTAGGCTTTGCTGGTCTTCCAATCTCTATTATTGGTATTCCACGCTGTCACTGTAGCACGAAAGCTGCCAGAAACAAGTATGTAAACAAGTGGGCCTGGTTGTGTTTCAATAAAACTTTATTTACAAAAACAGTCATGGGGTTGGTTTGGCCCTCAGGCTGTAGTATGCTGAAACCTATAAATAAACAGCTAAGTTTGGGGAGGACCACAAATTACCAGAACTTGTTTTCTAATAAATATTTTATCAGAATTTTTTTCTTTTAAGGATCACCTGTTCACACACGCCCCTTTTGGTATACGAATATTCTTTGTTTTTGTTTAATCAAGGTTAACCCTTTGTTATGTTACTGCAATTATTCTTATTTTGATTTTGTCTTCTAACTTAAGAAATTTTCGGTGATAGAAACTTTTTTTAAAATTCCGGTTAGATCAGTTTATCAGTATGGTTTATGGTTTCCAGTTTTTAAAAGTCGGCCTTCTTGGTATATTGGGCCAGTTGGTTCTTTGCTGTGGGGGCTGCAGGTGCATCACGGGGTGCTTTGCAACAGCTCTGGCCTTTACCGAGCAGACGCCCGTAGCACCTGCCTCCCGTCACGACACAAGGAAAACTTGCCACGTGGCCAATAGGCCCTGGATGGCAAAATCACCCAGCACCGAGAGTCACTGCTTTATACCCTGTACTTTTACCTCCAAAAGCTTCTTCTGTATAATATTTATAAGGTCAATCCTTTACTAACTTCCAGTATTTGTATTAAATGTGTTTAAATACACATTATTATACATATTGCCATATATAATAATTTGAAATTTTGACTTCTGTAATATTCTGGCCTTCCTATCTATTAACATGAGGTTGCTGTTTTTACTTGACAATGCTATGAGTTTACCTGTCATAAGAATTTAAGTCTGTCTTTCTCCAAACTGGAAGGTGGGAAAAATTACTTCAGTGTAGTTGACATATAAAGCATGTGAATGTATGTTTCCTATTATAAGGGACTATCTTTTTTTAGAAAAGAAAAGGGGAAAAGATGTCCGTTCAAGTTCAACAAGAAGTTGTCAGAAAAATATTCCCCCAAAGGGTAAGTAAGCAAGAGGCACAGTCTGGCCCTCAGGGCCCCAGCCTGCTGCTGGCAGCTCCGTCCCCTCCCCCTCTGCCTTCCCTCCCCCGTCCCTGCCCCTCCTCCCCCAGGTCTCTTCTCCACAGGTGAGGCCTCTTAGTGAATGAGGGCACGTGAGGCATGCTGCCCGCTGCCCCCAATCTCCACACGTCTGCCCTGGCAAGCAGTCTTCCACACAGAACCTCTAAAGACCCCAAATGATGAGGGAACATGACCAAAGCCGTAGGTCAAGTTCTAATGCAAACATTGACTGTCTTCATTCCAGGAACTGGTGAAAACTCTAATCCAAGCAAAGCCCGAGTGTTCTCACTCCGGTGGGATGAGCTTTCTCTTCCTGAGCAGTTAGCGGTGCGGGTGGGTCTCCGTGGCCGGGCCCTGGGCTTGCTTCTGCCCCTCTCAGCTCTTTGCCTCCTGGTCACTGTCCTTCCTCCTCCTCATCCCCTCCTTCTCTTCCTGGTTCACTTTTCTCCTGCTTCTGTGACTTCCTCCCTCGGCAGTCTCTCCTGTCACTCTCCCCTTCCTCTTCGGCATGAGCCACACTGGCCTTTTTGCCCCACTTATTACTAAAGTATAGCAGGTGCTGTTCGAGTAGGGTATAGACCCGTGCCACCTACAGGCCAGTTTGCTGTAGGTCTGCAAAAATGCAGAGCTTGTAAGTCAGCTGTGACACAGAATACTCTGTGTTCAGGGCCAGACCTCCTCGGGGGAGACGGCAGTGCATCAATTTCATCCTGGTCAAGCCCCTGTCTCATCACGGACCACGTGCAGGGAGCACTGGTGTGACATGCTTAGGGACAGATGCGTGCACCATACAGTTGGAGGAGCTAACACAAAGCAAGACCCAGAGTGGACCCAGCACCCGATCAACAAACACAGCAGAACCCACTCCCATAACCCAGTCCCTACCCCCCACCAGGGCCGCCACCAGCCTGATTGCTCAATGCTGCCCCCCACAACACACACACACACACACACACACACACACACACACACGCTCCCTCATCCTCACCACTCTCTTTGCTCCACATCCTCAGGCCTCACCTTGAACAAAGCATTGTCTGCCCCGCAGGCCAGGGTAGGGCCTCCCGACATGCCCTCACAGAGCCCTGTATTTTCTCTCTGTGGCACTTACCACAACGGTCATTAACTGTCTGTGTGCATCCTGTTCACGGTGTGAAAGTCATATGAAGTCAGTGAGTGGGTCGGTCTTAACTCTGTCTCCTCTGTGCCTTTCACATTTTGTGCTTAAATATCTGTCAAGTCACCAAAACCTTATCATTCTTTTTAGTCAAGGGTCGATACCACCATCAGGCCTTCATTTACTCAGATGTGTGAGCTAAAAAAAAGATTTTCCTTCCCCATCACTTTCCCCAGATGGTGAGAATTGATTCCCGAAGCCACAGCCTTTTCTGCCCTCTGCTGGAAGGCTGTGGTAGGACGTGCACAGGATTCCGTCTCAGATGCAAATCAGAGCCCCCTCCAAGGGGGGATCTTTGCTCAGTGCACAACCCACACAACTGTATCCAGAGGCCCTGACAACAATATAAGTGTGTACGTCACTTTGACGACTGTCAAAGCACTTTGCTCTACACCTTATCATTTAACCCTCAAATAAATATGAGTCAGTTCATTTTTACACAGCCAGTTGGAACAGAAAAGCCATGTGTGAGCTAAAATCAACCTAGGTGTTCAATTATTTCAAGTTCTTTGTTCTTTGCACTGAAAAAAAAAAAAAAAACACCCCCCGTCTTTTTAGAAAACACTGGTGTCGGCAAGAATCCAGGCAAACGCGGACAGTTATCCACCAGCATCCGCGTGCCCTGCCTCCTTCACATTTCCACCCTGTGTGTTCCACAGAGACAACACAGTGCCTGTGCTGTTATCAGCTGTATGACGGGGAGTCTTGTTGAGGCCCTTCTGATGGCGTGGGAGGGGAACCAGACTAGGGATGCCATGAAATGTGGGGGTCACCAGGGTTCTCTCCAGATCTAAGCCTGCATCCCCATCTACAAAATAGGGGTCAGCATTGCCTGCCCTGTTTCACAGATTGTTGTGAGAATAAGCAGTACAATATGCGTGCTGATCATGGAGCTCCTAGATATTCCCCAGGTTGTATCTTCCCATGTCATTGTGACCTAGTGCCCTTGGCCTATGTTCTGTAAGAATTCCTGGAGTTAGCCCTCCTGATTACTAATTGGCTTTTTTCCCATTCTGCTCTTCTTGGTCTCTATTAGGCTTTTCTCTTCATTTCCTTCCTGTTTCCATGAACTCTCTCTGTTCTTTAATTGCTCACTTTCCTAGCTCGCTCCTCCTGTGGGCTCCCACTGAGTAATGGTGAGCTAGTCCGCGGTGGACAGCTCCAGGCAGGCCTCCCCACGGGGCTCCCCCCAAAAGGCCTGTTTGCTGAGATAAGTGGGGAAGGCTGAGACAAACACAGATTTGGGGGAACACATCAGAATGTTGTCTCCCTCCTTTAGGGACAGGGTGGTTGTTTCGGAAGTCCTGGGAACACAAGGTCCCGCACGACTCTGTAAGCTGCCTGCACCAGGTAGGATGCCGTGCAGCTTAGGTCATGGGCCTAAGGAAGACTAACTCCATGACCCTGGCCTCTGGCTTGCTGGCCAGAGCTCCCAAAGCCACACACTGTTCCCGATCTGCTTGTGGGCAGATCTGGGACACCTGTGTTCATGGGACCCAAAGGATTTAGAGAAGACAGTTATGTGAGACAGAGAACCATCAAAGGTCCCACTGCCATGCTAAGCCCCCTTGGGGTTTGCAATAGTGGTCCACAGTTACCTGTCATGTAGGCAAATCCCCACTCAGCCTCGATAACAGTAATACACACTTATGTGACCTTGCTCGTAAATTGTAAAGACAGAATTACAAGCCCATCCGGCCTGGCTTCCAAGGCCATGCTCCCAACCACTGGGCCGTGGTTAATGGGCAGGGTCTGGAGACAAGTGACCAAGCCGGCCACTTCATGCAAGAGAGCTGGCGGCTGTTAGAACTGAGGTCTTGCCGCCCCGTCATCCCTGCCTAGCCCTGCCATAGACCCTGCTCTTCCCCGGGGGGCTTCCTCTGGGGGGAACCACCCTCTCACTTTTCAGGGGTCTTTCCTTTCTCGTCTGATTCTACCTGGTTTGTATCTTTCCAAGGTAACTAATGGTTTCTTTGTCACTGATGCTGTTCTGTTCTTTTTTCAATAATGTTCTTGATTTTTTCATACACTTTCCTTTGGCTCTTTCAGTAAGTGTTTGAGACAAGGCAGAGAGTTGGGCTAGTGGGTCTCCTATCTTCATTCTAGACGTAACGATAACTCAACATTAACTGTGGATAGCCCTTCCCCCTGGCCCCCAAGGATCAGCTCCTGCGGTCTATCTTTAATGAATTCACCCACAATAAGGCTAGGGGAAAGGGGAGCAGGAATTGCCGATATTTCTTTTAAACACTTTTAAACTGCTTCTCCGGACTCAGAACCCCAGATCCAAGATCCCTACTCAGGGCTTTGAGTTGCCAAATCTCCCCATGTGCAATTGGTAGATTAGTCCAGAGCTCTCCAGGGTTTTCTTTGACTCATACAGGAAGAAGCCAGGAAGCAATAAAATGAAAAAAAAAAACAAAAAAAAAACAAAGAAGCTTTCATGATCCCCTCAGTGTGCTAACTGCCACACTTACCCCGCCAGGGTTTGAATCGGCCAGTAAGTTAACAGACAAAGATCTTTCTCCGACTACATGAACGCAAAGAAATATTCTGAGCAGGCAACTTCTGTCAGCACAGTGGGATGGCAGGATGCTTACGGAATAAAAGAATGTCAGGTGATGGCCAACTAGCTTGTGAATTCACCCAATGTGTTTTACTAAAATGTTTTGTTTGATGTCGTGTTGATGGTGGTGGTTTTGTTTACTAGGGACCACTCTGTACATTAATCAGAGAATGCTCCCCAGTGCCATTTACGTTGTTGTTGTTGTTGTTGTTGTTAGAAGTCATGGAGCCTGGACGATGTGGCTCAGTGGTTGAGCATTGACCCCTGCACCAAGAGGTCGCCGGTTCGATTCCTGGTCAGGGCACATGCCCAGGTTGTGGGCCCGATCCCCAGGGGGGGACATGCAGGAGGAAGCCAGTCAATGTTCTCTCTCATCGATGTTTTTCTCTCTCCCTGTCCCTTCCTTTCTCTCTAAAATCAATAAGAGGGGAAAAAATTTTTTAAAAAAAGGAAGTCATGGAATAGAAAATTCACGAGGGAGACAGAACAAAGACCAACAAACTGAGTTCTTCCACTTTCAGAAAAACCCAAAGATGAAACTGTGGATTTTCAGTCTCCGACACTTCCTGTGACCTGTGGCGACGAGAAGGGTATTTTACACAAGGATAAATTGAAAAAAGGTGAGTTTCTTGATATTCTGCTCTTTGGAGACTCTGTGAGCTAGGCTGCAGAAAATTCCTGTTAAGAAGGAATTTTCAAACTTTTCCACGTCATGGTACACCTGGTGGCCAGGCCACAGCGTTCCCCGTAGGAGTTATCCATCCACGGACCCTGTGACACTGGGCACCATGTCCTTGGCCCATGTAGGTGTCATATAAAATACAAATTCCCTCCCACTCCCTTACCACTCAGATAGGTTTGGGGGCTTCCTTCAATCTGAGAGGGGAGGAACCCAGACTCCTTGCTGCTGGTCCTTCTTCCCAGGGAGTCTCCCTGAACCCAGAAAGGTAGAACACCGCAATCGGGGGTTGGAGTCAGGATGAATCCGGGGGACGGGAGCGGATCCTGGACTGGGCTCTTGGTCCTGCAGGATCCTCGGAGCCAAGCATTCAGAATGAGGCCGGAGTGTGGTTCACGCCAAGAGAATTTGAAGTCAAAGGAAGAGGGATTCGTTCGAAGAACTGGAAGCGGAACGTGCGTTGCCGAGGAGAGACCCTCCAACGGCTGCTGGAGGTACGATCGGGATGAGGGGCAGATAAGTGGGCGGTTTAATTCCTTGAAAGATGAGGAAAATGTCAATCACAAGAAGTATACAGAATTCCCTTTAGGATTCCACAGCATGATGGAGAAAGAGCTAAACCTCTGTAGAAAAACGTGTGTGATAAACTTAAAAACAGATCGGTGCTGATGGGGGGGAACTTTAAGTGCAGGTGAAGGGTTTTGAGGTCAGACGAGATTTTAAAAATTTGCGTGGCCCGGCCGGTGTGGCTCAGTGGCTGCGCACCGACCCAGCACCAAGAGGTCGCCGGTTTGATTCCCAGTCAGGACACATGCCCAGGTTGTGGGCCCGATCCCCAGTGGGGGGCATGCAGGAGGTCACTCGATATTCTCTCTCCTCGATGTTTCTCTCTCTCTCTCTCCCCGCCCCGTCTTCTCTCTAAAAATCAATAAAGAAAAAAATTTTTTTTAAGTTCACCTGGTGCTATGAAGTAGGCTAGGCTAGAAGGAAACTCCGTGAAAACATAGACCTCGGCCATAGCTTCCCAGTGTCCTCCATCCGCCAAATGCCCCCTCGAGGCCCTGCTCCATCTGGACCCCTCAGTGAAAGGTTTACAGGCCATCCTGTCCGTGGTCAGTCTCTCCTCTGCCTTTCCCAGCCCACTACTCCATCCTGTGAGCAACGCACCGGGGCACTAGTGAGCCCAACGCAAAGCCTGTTGATCACACTCAAAACTGGTCACTGGGATGCAACCATAGGATCTTATCTAGAGAGGAAGAAACGCAAACTAAGAGGAGTGGGGGGGGGCAGGGACTGAGATAAAAGAACTGACAGGCCTGCGGTTTGAGTAGCAGGGGAACAAAATGATTTTGTCAAGCCCAGAAGAATAACTCATTGGAGCTTGAGCTGATTTTTCTCTGAGATGCGTTGGGTTTGAGACCCAGGAGGATATCCAGGTATAAAAAAAATCATTAGGAAGTGGGAACGTCGATAATTACAACAGAAAAGCCTCCCGAATAACCTAATTCATTGACCTCTTCTTTCTTTCAGAAAGGACTTTTGCTCTGTCCTCCAAGAATAAGTCTCAAGAGAGAGGTAAATAGCAAGTGAATTTCTACCACATTCTCAGTGGTCAGATTGACGAGTTTTCATGCCCCAAGGCTCACCTTCAAGTCCTCGAGCGCCCCAGCCCCACGCGACCTTCACGTTTAGACACTGCATCTTCACGCTGACTGTTTTAGCCCCCTGGTACCTGTACATGTTGCTATTATTTTCATAGCTGATTTGCGATAGGGGAGCAAATAACTCCTTAAAATAAAGACCAGGACCGAAGCTGCTGCTGTACATGTGCTGTAAACAAAGTTCTGGGTGTTTGGATGCTTGCAAACCCAGGGTGTCAGAAATGGGCTGCTCTAGTTTGAAAAGCAAATGTGTTGAAATAGAAAAGAACAGAAAGGGCAAGGTGGTCATCCTTGGCTGAACACCGGGTCATCCCAATTCAACATGCTCTGTATCAAGAGCACCTGAATGGAAGAATGTGTTTGAACTAAGCTTTGGCGTTTTCCAGACACAGGTCCCATTCATGGGCTTCCCATTAGACCTGGGCTCCAGAAGAGGCAATGATAGCGCTCCCTTCTTTCCCTGGAGGCTAGCCGGACCCTTGGCTGGTTCCGTTCAAAGTGTCTAAGACGATGGTTCCCCCATGCCATTTCTCGTGTAAAGTATCTTTACCACGCTGATTTTGGACACCTTGATACGTACAGGGATGCTCCTTGTAATGGCAAAAGATCAGGGAAGACTACAAATGTCCATCAGTATTGTAAAGTAACCTAAGACATCTGCAGAATGGTATTTGTTTGAACACACGGATTCGTAGGTCAAGACTCATCCTTCAGTCAATGGAAAACCACACGAGAGTGTTGAGGTCAGGAAGGCTTTGGGAAGCTCAAACCGGTAGTACTTTGTGTGGAAGGAGCCCAGTTTTGTTCATGTAAACACGTAGGTCTACCTGAAAAAACTTGCTCTTCTGGGATGGGATTACAGGGAAATTGGCCGTCCATATTATACATGTATGTGCATGTGGTTATAATGACCATTTATTACTTTTGTAACCAGGAGAGAAACAATAAAGATATTTAAAATCCAGATCATTCCTGAATGGCCCCAACATGATAGTTTCTTCTCACTCATGATGCCACATGTCAGCACATGACGGCCAGGGCACACTTGGCCCACCACCCTTGCAGTCTCCCCCAGCAGGAGCCACGTCTCGATCTGACGTCACGCGGACTAACGCAGGCCTGTCCCTGAGCCGCATCACCGCACACCTCGCTGGGGCTCTGCCGCGGGGCCACTGGTGTGTGACTGCGTGTGTACCACCGCGGCCCCCGATGCCGATGCCGCAAGCACGCGTTCTGTGGCTTCCCTTCCGGATGCTGCTCCGAAGACCCCATCCAAAACGGGTGACCGGTGCAGAGTCCCCGGCTGAGGGCTCTGAGCGCCTCCATCTCCAAGGGCCTAGCGTGCGGCGGTCGTTGCTACTCTGTGGGAGTGCAGTGGGCTGAGGGGGACGGGGGTAGGGTGAGGATTCTCTTGCTGGGGCAGAGCCTGTCTGGTTTGAACTTTCTGCCAGGGCTAGGTGAAGAAATCCATAGCTTTCTTATGGACTTGCCCAGATGGGGCGGGGGGGAGGGGGGGCTTGAAGCTGTCAGCAGTCATCACAAAAATAGAGTCAAACTCTTCATTAGAGAGTGTGATTGTGGAGTTGTACATCCATTCTCCATCATTTCTCTATCATAGCATGTGTGTTGGAAATAATTTTACTCTAGACCATGGGGGGAGGGGTATTGGTAGCTGGGTTTGGGTCGGGGACTTTGAGCCCAACCAGAGTCTCACCTGGGAAGAGTGGGTTGGTCTGGGCTACCTGGGGACTGTCATTCTGTACCCTGGGCTAGGGCAGGCCAGGTGTCCAGTCAGGGGGCAAGAATGGCCATAGCGTATCAACCCTAGAACAAAGGCAGGCTGGAGGGTTCAGGATGGGAAGACCGGAAAGATCTACCGAACTTCAGGGGGGAGGGTTCCCTCCCCATGGAGTCCGGGCCCAGTAGATGGAGGGAGCGGCTGAGCAGCCTCTCCAGTTAGGAGAGAGGAGCTCCATCCCCAAATCAAAGGGAATTTTCCCTCTGGCTGGGGGCTGGTGTGCAGAATGGAAAGCGTCCCTCTCCGTTGAGGACAGCGGCAGGATTGCTCTCCTGAGAAGCGCCTGCCCCAGCCCCTCGGGCCTTTGCTCCAGCACCTGAAGGTCTGTCTCCAGCCTTTCACACCACCATCCGTCTGGGACAAGCAGGCACAGGAGGAGGGCCGCTTCCTGGCCCCTGCCTTCAGCACAGAGAAAACGGCCTCTCGGGGGTGTGGCACCCACGCTCTTCGTCCGGGGGGGCCGGGAGCAGGGCCAGAGGCTCAGCCAGCCGTGAAGAAGGTGTTCGCCACCTACATCACTCGGAATTTACTGGGTCACATTTTAAGGCCACGAGAAAGACCCGTGTGAGATCTCAAGCCCACAGACAACCCATTTCACAGCAGCTCTGTCCTTGTGCATGTGTCCTTCTGTCTGTGAGCCGGAGCGTCGGGGCGGTGCTGCGTCATCCACACGCGTGCCTGGGATGGCACCCAGCAGGGAGGACAGTTCTGGCCCGGGGCAGCCTGAGAGCCAGCCTGGCTCGGGCACTAAGTGGCTCTGATTCTACAGGAAAACACTTCCTCTGCTTGTAGAGCGGAGAGGTCGCCCGCAGCCGGCCCTTCTCAGACTGCGCGCACAGACCACCTGGGTCCTAGCACGCATGTTCTCACCCAGTAGGTCTGTGTTGCTCACCTGTGTACAAAGGGCTTCTGTGACTTTCCTGGCCCTTCTGGTCCTGACAGTCTGCGGTTCAGGTGACAGGTGTGGCAGTTCGAGAAGAACTGGTGTCAAACCTGCTCTTCCGGGACCGGAAGGCCAGCTGGCTGTCCACCAGCGTTCCGCCTGCGCGCCGCGGGCAGTGGTGGAAAGCACCCACTCGGGGACAGGCCCAGCCGGTCTTGGCGATGCCAGGGTGCCCACGTTATCTCCTCTTCCAGCGGGAAAGCCCGGATGAATGTGAGGTGTGCTGCAGAGGGGGACAGCTGCTCAGCTGCGACACCTGCCCACGGGCCTTTCATGAGGACTGTCACATCCCGCTGGCGGAGGCCGAGAGGTTAGTGAGACGCAGCCGCCTCGTGCGCACCTAGTCCCGGCTCTGCCCGGCCGCTCAGCTCCAGACCCGCGGGCAGCCTGGGGGAGCACAGCCTCCCCCTGGTGTCGGTGACAGCCTGTGTCTGAGTCTGTGGCTGGGCCACCTTGGCCCTGGGCTGCCACTGCCCCCGGGTGATGTCTATCCGAGGTTTGCAGCGCCGACTGCTGTCCCAGAGGGATGGGGACGGGAGCTCCTGTTGTCTGGTTCTGTGCTTATTCAGAAAAGGCAAGAACATGGCCTGGTTTTCTCATTTTGCCCCATTCTCAATGGGCTGATGGGGGCCTGAGGCCCCCGGGGGTGAAGGCCCAGTCTCTGCAGCAGGCCAGGTGGGCAGGGGTCCTTGTGCTCCCAGCAGCTCAGAGGGGACGGGAGAGCCCACCACTCACCCTGACACCACCTTCCACCCACAGAACCCCTGCTGCTACCCTCAGTGGGAGGAGGGTCATCCAGTCAGACCCCAGCTGGGGGTCCTGGAGACTGGGGAGTGTCCCCTTCATCCCCCAGCTATGCCCACTGGTCATTCCTGGAAGGAGAACAGGCAGCCTAGGAAGGGTGGCTGTTTCTGGGCTTTGCCCTGCTCACTCACGCCCCCTCTCAGGAGCCCGTGGAGTTGCACCTTCTGCAGGATGAGGGAGACCTCCGGAAGCCGGCAGTGTCTCAGGGAACCCGAGGTCCTGGAGAGGCGGATGGGGCCTGAGGAGCAGCTGGTGAGTCGATTCCAGCTCCAGGGTCTCCTTTCTGCTCACACGTGAGAAGCCAACAGCCACGGGCTCAGGGGAAGGCACTTGAGGGTGTCTCACTTCAAAGCATGGTAACTCAGTGCCCAAGTAGGCGTCGGAACAGAACTGAACCCACCCAGGAACCTGGACCAGTGTGGCGGGGCGGAGGCCGGTGTGTCCAGGTGCGTCTGGACACGGGCCACTGTGCTGGCTGCCAGCTGCATCTCCCTGCAACCTCTTCACGTTTTACAGAAATGTGAGTTCCTCCTCTTGAAGGCCTACTGTCACCCACAAAGTGCCTTTTTTGCGAAGAGCCCACATAACGTAAGTCACATCGGATGCTTTCCATCCTCCAGTCCTCTCTCTGGTGTCAAACTCACTCTGGAAACGGAGTGAGTCCTGTGGTGCCGCCCTCTGCAGGGAGCGGAGGGGTTAGCCCGACTCTGGAGTGGGACCAACCCCACCCCACCCTGCCAGCTTCCCCTCCTCTGGGTCCTAGTTCTACCTTCTCTTAGGGGCAAGGGCTTCCTTAAGGATAGTTGATGGATTAAGAGCTCAATCTCAGGAGCCAAACTGTGGGTTCAAGTCCCAGCTCTGCCACATTTTGGCTGGGACATCTTGGGTATTAGTTAACCTCTCCATCGCTCGGTTTCCCGTCTACAAAATGGGAGTCACGATAGCCCGGTCTCATAGGGTTGCTGCGGAGATCATGTGTAGGTGTAGGGGCAGTGCTTAGAACAAACCTGGCATGTAGGTATCAGGTGGTATTATCATTATTACCCTGGAAATAAAGATTTGGATTTCAACTGGATCCATCCAGTGGTGATGGCTGTGCTAACATCGCCCCTTTGGTGGCTTTGTCCCTAGATTCAAGATTATGCTGAGCCCTTTAAGGAAGCCATGTGGCTGGACCTGGTGAAGGAAAGGCTGACTGAGAAGGTGTATACGGTGGCATGGTTCGTACGGGACATGCGCCTGATTTTTCACAACCACAAAACATTTTACAAGGTAAAGCACATGCCCTGCTTCCTTCTCACATCCTTTCTACTTTCCCCTAATCTCTGGGGCGGCAGAGCTTTGCACCGATTGTCCCCTGTCTCCTCCTGGAGAGGGCTCAGCAGAGGGGTGGATGCCCAAAAGAGCCACAGGCAGGACAGGGAAGGATCCTCGCAGCCGGTGCCTGGAGAGAATTCTCCCTCTTTCCCAGGTTGGCAGGCTGCTCCCACTGAGACAGCCGACTCCTCCAGCCTCCTTGTTAGAACTGAGAAGGGCAACCTATACTTCCATTGTCCTTCCTGTCCCGGGAATACAGAAATAAATGAATTAACTAAACAAAATGACATGCGTTAAACTTCCAGGATGCTCATACTTAGACTTTGTGACACCCAAATTTCCCGGTGGACTCAAACATCATCTGAAATTGTCCTTGGATCTTGCTGTCTTCCTTCCTTAATAGGGACAATGAGTTGAGCTATTTTGCAATCCAAGACATTCTTAACTTTAGTTTCTTGGGTTTCTCCTGATTTTTACTCTAACTAGCACAGACACTTTGGGGGAGGTAGCCAAGGGAGATTCTCATCTTCACCCAGCCTCCCTCCTCCACGCCACAAGTCGGCATGTTCACAAGCCACAAATTGTGTTCACGTGTGGAGCTGGAGGTAGTGAAGTTGACCCAGGGAGCCCCCCGCCCCCCCGACATCTGGCACAGTCTGCGCCTGAGAGAACAGGAGGGTCATCCTTCCTTCGAAGAGTGGGCTTTCAAGAAATGTTTTTACTTTACGCCGGTGACACCAGTTTCCGGCTTCGCAGTGACCAGAATCAGTTCTGCAGTGCAGAGCACCTGTCAGTGTGGCAGCAGCATTTCCCCACCCATCCTGAGTGCTGGAGACGGGAGGGAGGGGCTCCTAAGGCCTAGGAGTGATCTCATGTTCCTAATGCTATGTCTTTAGATAGCTGTGCATTTGTCTTTCTCTCTTCCAGGCTTCCGACTTTGGTCAGGTAGGCCTGGACTTACAGGCAAAATTTGAGAAGGATCTCAAAGAGGTGTTTATGTTTCATGAAGCCAATGAGAACTATTCCCACGCTCCTCCTTGACCCCATTCTGGAAGGACGAAGGCACCTCAACTTCAGGATAAAGATGATGCAACCCTGGTCATCCTTAGATTGCCAGTGAGTCTGGGATGTGATTGGCTGTCCCCTTGCCTCAAATCCAGGCCCTTACAGCATCATCACACCCTCTACCTCCTTTTAGCATTTCTTGTTGCAATTAAAAAAATTAGGCCTTGAATCTAAAGAACTGAATACTTCCTAAATAGCGTTAAATACCCATCATAGTTCACACTCTCCCCATTTCTTATAAATTGTTTTACAGCGGATTTGTTTGAATCTTGATTTGGCTACTCTGTCTCTTATGTCCCTTTAATTCTGTAAGTTTGCCAGCTATTCATGCCAGCTGGGGCCCTTGTCCTGTACAATGTTTCATAGTCTGGGCTTTTCTACACTCGCACCACGATGAAAATTGTATTAAGTTGAATTCTAGATTTGTGTGAAGTTTTTTGTTGTTGTTGTTGTTTGTTTCTGTTACATATTTAATATATCATTGCAAAGAGTATTTATTTTTAGGATTTTTGCATTTGTATTTACAAGTGAGATTGGTCTGTACATGTTTGTATTTTGCCATAGTCAGGCATAGGGTTATCCTTGCTTGGTGAAAGGCCTCATAAAACTTCCCACTGTTTTATATGTTCTGGAATAGCGGATAGTGTTTTAAATTCATAAAAGTGTATAGCCTAGAGATCTTTAGGGAGGCAGCATTGACTATTTTCTCTGCTTTTTCGTGGTGAATAGACTATTCAGATATTCTGTTGCTTTTTTTTTTTTATCCTCACCCGAGGACATTTTTTGTTCAGGTAGAGTGGGAGGGAGAGAGAGAGAGAGAGAGAGAGAAACATCGATGTGAAGGGACACATCGAGTGGCTGCCACCCGCACGACCAACCTGGGCCCGGGGACAAACTACAACCGAGGTTCGTGCCCTTAGCGGGAACTGAACCCGGGTCTCTCGAGACCGCAGGCCGACGCTCTAACTGCTGAGCCAAACCGGCCAGGGCTTCTGTTGCTTTTTTAAACTAGATTGAAGCAATCTTTATTTTTATGTTGTTGTTTTTTTAATTGATTTTAGAGAGAGAAAGAGAAACATTGATGTGAGAGCACAGCATTGATTGGTCATCTGCCTCCTGCGCGCCCCCTACTGGGGATCAAGCCCACTACCTGGGCATGTGCTCTGACCAGGAAATGAACCAGCGACCTTTTAGTGCATGGGTCAAAACCCAACCAACTGAGCCACGCTGGCCAGGGTTTTATTGCTTTTTAAATTAGTTCCACTTTCATATTTTTCTAAGAAATAATCAATTGCATTTGTTTTATATAGTTGGCCTTATTTCAGTCTTATTTTATTCTTCCCCTTTTGAATACTTTCATATTGTTTTTGCCTATATTTCTTTGTTATTTCTTTCCATTCTGGAGGCATTGCAACAGTTTTTAATTCTAATACTTACCTGAAAGTTTTCCAAGTGCATTTTAACTTATTTTCTAAACACCAGAGCCAAAAATAAAATATCTTTAAGGTGCCACATGTTTAAACCAATGTGCTTGTCACTTTTACACCCCTCAGCTCCCTAACCTGTCTATCTGCTGTGTTGGCCTAGGGATATGTGTTACCATTATTAACATTTTTATCTTTTACTCTACTTACTTTAATTTTATTTGATTATATTATATGTAATCATTGTGTTATTTTCATATTACATCAATTATTTGTTTGGTAGCATCATATAAGGTAACTAGAAAACAAAAATGAAAAATTTGTGTTATATGATAATCCATAATCATAAAAATAATATTGATGCATTTCTGTTTTTACTGTTCAAGTTTCCCCACTGGTCTTTCTTTGCATGACTTCTTCATACTTCTCTTTTGGTCCATCTCTCAGTCAACTGAACTATATCTTAAGTGATTTTTTAAAAAGCCCTGGCCGGTTTGGCTCAGCGGTTGGAGCATCAGCCTGCAGACCAGAGAGTCCTGGGTTCAGTTTCCGCTGGGCCCTAGCGGCTAGGGGCACATACCAAAAAATAAAAATAAAATAAAAAAAAGAATAATGGGTGGTATGCTTTCTGAGTCTTTGCGTATCTTAGAATGTCTTCTATTGTTTTCATCATTAACCACACACTGCGCTACAATATATATCTTATCACAACTTCTCACCTACACAATTGTTCCACTACCTGGGGGCATTTTGTTGCACAATTCTGAAGTTTGAGTTCAAAATTCTGTCCCTTTGTTAGTGTGAACACATACAGGACTTCTGCCTTTGTCTCTGTAGCTATGTATTTAGTTATTTTTAACGGGATAGGATTCAGTGTAATATTCTTGTCATTGAACTTGCCTGGCACACTAAGCCCTTTCAATGTACATACATGGTTCTGTTTTCAGTTCCATTATAAATCTCTCTGATCCATTTATTCTGGGCTCACTTTCAAGAACATCTAGTATCCATATGCTGACTGTTCTCTGTCCTCCCTGTATATCATTTAAAAAAAAAAAAAAAAGTTCCAGGAAGCACTCCTCCTCTTAGGTCATTAGTATGAGACTTTAAATATATCAACGTAAATGATTGTCATTCTATAATCAATATTTTAAACTGAATGATTTTTCAGCATGTTCATAATGGGAATTACTATCTATTAGCTAAGCCTCAAAGGACATAAACTTTTTATCACAATACTTTCCTTTCCTCAATATAAAAATAGAAGTCATTGCACTTGCAAAGTTGTCCTGATTTGTGTTTCTGATTTTCATTCTTATTTAGTGTCAATGGAAGATTGTTATGGACTGAATCATGTCCCCCCAAACTCATAGGTTGAAGCCATAATCCCCAAAGTAACTGTATGTGGAGAGAGGGCCTATAGGAAGACATTTAAAAGTTAAATGAGGTCAGAAAGGCAAGACCCTAGTCAGATAACATTAGTTATCTCCAGAAGAGAGAGACAGCAGAGATCTCTCTCCATACAGGCACAGGGGACAAGCCCTGTGAGGACGCAACAAGCGGGTGGCATCTGCAAGCCAGGGTGAGCTCTCACTAGTAACTGAACCAGCTGGCACCTTGGCCTGCTGTTGACGCCACCAGTGTGTGGGACGTGGTTAGGCAGCCCAAGCTGACTAATACGGAGCATGAGTGACACCATCAAGCCCATCCTCTCCCCAGAGCAAGGCAGAGACTGTCAAACAGGATCTCCCAGTTTCCCGTGAGGAATTGGGAGAAGGGTGTGTTAGAGTGTCCGTGTCGGTGCCTAGTGTCACAGACTGATAAACAGAAAATGTGTAGAATCTCCCTCGCTCTGTTTCCAAGCGCTTCCACCGTAATGCGCACTGCGAAATGGACCGACTTTGCCTACAGCCCAGAAAAGGACAGAGGCAGTTTGAGACTTTAAAAAGCATGTAATGGAGTAGAATTTCTTTACCGCATGGGAAGATGACAAGCATGGCCAGAAGGACTGCGCTCCTGGTGCCAGTCTGGGGGGAACGGTGGGGACCTGGGGATGATCGTTTCGTTGGGATAGTCTTCAAGATTTCCACATTCTTCTAAGGGAAGCACTAACGGTTTCTCTTCCTGGAGTACTAGGATAAAAGATCCCCGCCCTACTGTTCCCAGGGGGCAGAATTGCTGTGTTTTACATGATCTTACATCCATCTGTGACCCTTCCTTTTATTCTGGCACGAGTAAGCTGAATTAACTGTCTCTCTGTCTCTGTCTGTGTGTGTGTGTGTCTCTCTCTCTCCTATCATGGGTCTGGGTTGCTCTATTACTTTAAAAAAAAAAAAAGTAAAGAGTCATTTATTTCTTTCAAGTGGGAAGTTTTAACCACTAGTAGTCCGGTTACCATGACAACCAAGACCCCTCTCTCTCCCTCTGGCTCCCTTTTGTCGCTGTACCGCTCTCCTGGTTTTCAAACTGTTTCCACCCTCAAGAGCAGGGTTTGGTTCATTCCGCTTAGCTCAGCTGGCCTTCCCCCAAGCCCTATGAGCTGTAGGCCTGGGCCACCCTGTGTTTGGGCTCCTGCTGCCCAGGCCCACCCAGTTCTGGCACACACCTCCTTAGACATTACAGACTCCTAATGAAACCAGTGTCGGTGACAGCCCTGCAGACAAAGCCAACTGCCTCCCCCCAAGGGTCCCTTGTAGCCCTGCACCCAGGCTATTTCTCTCTTCCTGGTCCAGCTGGATTTCTGTCCTTCCCTCCCCCACTGGCCAGGGCTGCTGATTGCCCAGGTCAACTCAGGACTCCTCCACCCAAGTCGTAATACAGGAGGTTAAATGACTCTCAAATGGTTCCCAGAAGCTTGGCAATGCTAAAGCTGCAAACATGGAACAAAGAAAAGCTTTGCAGAAAAGTGACTGGAAGAATAATTCTACGTAAAAAGATATTCCCTATTCCAGCTGACACCAGAATTCAACCTTGGAAAACTCATTTTTAGGAGCTGGGAGGGCATGGTCTCCTGGTCAAGGACACCCGCCCTCAGGAGAGGTAGACTTTGGCAATCAGCATCTGGGCTGAGGACTACTTGTCTTGGGTGCTTCCCAAGCTGTGGCAGAGCCTCAGAGAAACACATGCAGGACTTCTACAGGTGACTGTGCAATGCTGTTCCACCACCAGAGGGCAGTGTGGAGCCTCTCCAGAGACCAAAAGGAAGTAAGCTAGTAGAACTGTGGGTACTAGGAACTGGAAGGTAAGTCGTGATGGCTCTTAAGGGGGCAAAGATGCTTTCAATGACTCTGCGACTGAGAATCCAGTAACAGGAGCACCAACCAAGAATGTGAGCCAGATCTTCCCCAGATGAGGCAGGCTAAGAATAACCAGTTGGACAGTCATGGTTAGGCACATGCTTATGCCTGGAAAAAATTTAAGTGAGGATTTTCTTACTATAACAGAGGTCAGAGGTCCCTTCTGTATCACGAGCTTGAGACCTCACAGCTAGCACAAAGCAACCACTGAGGTGCGCTAAACACTGGGAACTGCAAAGAGGGCTTGTGATCTAGTTTTTCATCAAAGAGGTGGTGGTCTCATGGTAGGCGCAGCCTGGAGATGGCCAACAGCTCGCTCAGACCTGGACTCTAGAATCTCCCATCTATTCGGACCTGAATTACCGACCCTTCCACTAGCAAGAACATGACCTGCTCCCAGGATGCCGCGGGCCAAGGATCAGGTTCTCGCTGCTAAAGGGGTCTTTGGTCCTAAAAAATAAATTTGACCAGATGGTGTTTAGAGCGGGGTCCTCTGAGATGGTTGTACATCTCTCTGCTTCCCATTGAACTTGTTGAGGAGGAAAAATTTCTCCTCTACCCTTCGAGGTTCTTCTGGCTGGTCTAGGAATTAAACTGACATGAGAGAGGACAGGAGGAAAAAACAAATTTAATTTTGTCCATATGGGAGCTCCATGAGAACATGAAGGCCCGCAGATGGTCAGGTAATTGGGGCTTATATGCCATTCTGAACTGAGGAGAAGGGGGTAGGGGTCTGGGACTTGGGGAGGAAGGCAATTCACAGGAAGATGGGAAGCAAATGTTCGGTAAACTAATGTTTGCCATGCCCTGCAGAGAGAGGGGGGCACAAAGAAGAACTTGATCTCCAGGCCTTCCTGGAGCCCCAAGCCCAAGCCCATGACACCTGGCCCACATTCTTCGTAGTTGTTTCTGATGATAGTCTCTTCCTAAAGCAGGCCCGCCAACTGAATTCATTTGAGGCAGTTAAGGAGGAG